AAAAGAGTTCAAACTTTACACTTCAGCTCTCAGAAATTAGCAGAGGCACCCATCGCATGAACCAAATATCACATGTCTTTAACACAACCAGGACTGGAAAGAAATGGCGGTGCAGCCTTCCTCAGATCAGGGAATCCAACACTGTACAAAACATAAAAAACAAAGAGTGCAAACACCTGCACATTAACCTCGACACTTTATTGTTAAATGTAGGAAGCATAAAATATACTCACAAGTCTAGTCAGCTGATGGCCTGTAAATGCTTAAAGCACACAATGTAACAATCCGCTCTCCACCGCTTTGCTTCCTCTGTTCAGCAATAAAGTGTCAGGGTTAATGTGCTAGGTGTTTGTGCTCTCTTTGTTTTTTGTGTTCTGTAAAGAATTAGCATGGGCCGGGCAGAGGGAGCTGCATGCAGAAGGTTTTTTTTATCTTCATGCAGAGAATGCATGAATGTAAAAAATAACCTTCAGCCTTTACAACCTCTTTAAATTTGCTCCTACCCACATTTAACCACTTGCCCTCTTGAAATTGAACAATATTCCCTTATCCCAGAGTTCAGTTTTAACTACTTGCCCTCCAGAGGATTTACCCCCTTCCTGACCAGGCCATTTTTTGCGTTACGGCGCTGCGTTACGTTAACTGACAAATGCACGGTCATGCAACGCTGCACCCAAATTAAATTTATGTCCTTTTTTTTTTTTTGTACAAATTGAGCTTTCGGTGGTATGTGGTCGTCTGTGCGGTTTTATTTTTTGTACTTTAAAAAAAGAAGACCGACAATTTTGAGAAAAAAAAAACAATATTTGACTTTTTGCTATTAAACATGTCCAGCAAAAAAAAATTTAAAAATCAAATTTCCTCATAAATTTAGGCCAAAATGTATTCTGCTACATGTCTTTGCTAAAAAAAATATCCCAATACGTGGAAATTAAATGGTCTGTGTGAAAGTTTTTTAGCATTTAGAAATGGCTGTATAGATATTGGAATTTTTTCTAAATGTTATTTTTACTAGTAATGGCGGCGATCAGCGACTTATAGCGGGACTGCAGCAGGCATTCTGAAACTGGGGGGAACGGATTTGGTGTCACTGACATCCTCAGTGACACCAATACAGTGATTAGTGCTAAAAAAAAAAAAAAAAAAAAAGCACTGACACTGTACTAATGGCACTGGGCAGGAAGGGGTAACATGAGGGGTGATCAAAGGGTTAACTGTGTGCTGTTTTACTAGGAGGCTGTGTGTCTTTGCTTCACTGTAATCGCACTGCTTTGCATGGATGTGCCATCCAAAGCAGTGTGCAGGAGCTGACAGGGAGAACTGTATTGTTTACATACAGTTCTCCTCCCTGTCGGAGATGCTCAGCAATCACAGGGTGCCTGCTAGTAATCACCGGATGGAACAGCCGCAAATGGTAGTGCAGGTAGGGCACGCACGCCTCCTACCCGGAAATGCAAAATCACATGTGTGTATATATACGTGATTTTGCGCACCCCTGCTTCCCTGTAGCAGTATATCAGCTGTAGGGTGGTCGGAAAGCTCTATACGGACTACCCTGTAAAGGAAAATTGTGTATGCTTACCTAATGTAAGAGCACTCCGGTCTGGTCATGAGATCAGGAGAGGAGAGGGTGGCAGACAATGGATGCCCCATAGTAAGCCTATGGGTTACATCACCACCCAGGTCTGTTGTCAGCACTCTCTTCTCTCCCCTAATGCTGGGTAGATCACGTGGTCAGACAGGAGCGCTCTGAGAATAGGTAAGTATATACATCTTTCCTTTATAGGGTACTTAGTATAGGGCTTAGATTTGGGGTGGGAGCAGGTTTAAGCTTAGTTAAGTTTTGACCAGACTTCTAAAGTTTTTAGGTATGGATATTTTTACATAGTTAGACCTCATTCACATGGGCATTTACTTGTGTGCTCTATGCAGGGCTGGTGGTCCCATAGATGTCCAATGAGATACACAGCTGCCGTATCCCACTGTGACATCCTTGTGGGTGCAGATTCATGTCCCTGATCTCACCCCACCTGTTCATGGTGCTTTCAGGGCCATGCACGCACATGGATGTCACATTGGTACACAGCTCCTCTGTGTGTGCAGTCACATGTCCCAGTAGACATACATGGGATTTCTGGCATGGGGATGCATGCAACACCTTTACAAACCCCCGTACTGGCAAAACACAGCCCTGCACGGGGGACCCATGCAAATAATTGCCTATGTGAACAAGGCCTTAGGATCCGTTCACATGTGTGTCACCCACTCATTCATGTTTTTGGAAGAAAAAAAAAAGATTCTGGTTACATCAGTTTGCATTTCAGTTCAGTTTACATCTTTTTGCATCCATTTTTTTAAGTTGTTTCAGAAAGCAGTCATAGGTGACAAAAGTATAAACAAAAAATGTCTTTTGCCTAAAAACAAGTGTAAAACGGATGACATCCATCAAGATCCGTCAAAATGAAAAATGACGCAACCTTTGTTTCATTTTAAAAAATGGACCTGCACCCACATGTACATCTTTCCACCCATGGACATACATTTTGGTTCAGTCTGGATCCATCTGAATAACTGACAGACAGATCTAAACTGAATGTCCGTGTGAAAGGACCCTAAAATTTATTCCAGCTTAGACCATTGTAACTATACATATACTGTACCTGTGAAAGCCTTGGGGTAGCTGGAAATCGCTGTATTATTCAATGCTACCTCGCGCGATTTCCACTAGCTTTCAGGTCCGAATGGCTGTCTTGCTGCATTCTGAACACTTCCCACTCAACACAGGTACATCCAAAGCACACTTTACACTTTTTCAATGACTGTGATGTCACTTTCCACCCCTCAAAATCCAAGCAGAAAGCATTTTGCATTCAGTAAGAAAATGCAAAGTGTTACCTGAATGGTACCTGTGCTGAGCAACTGCCAGTGTTTACGATGCAGCAGTACAGTCTCTTGGCACAGGACCCAGAACTAGTTCAGATCACTGTAATAGCAGTGCCTATTACAGTGGTTCTACACTTTCATAGGGATCCCACAGGTATGGCACATAAGCACGATGCTGACCAAATAGAAGCTGTCTAGCCTGTACTGTTTCCCTGCAAAGAGAGGAGAGAAAGCCACTGGGATTTTAAATTGCCAGACCTGTGAAGCAGCTTTTCCTTGTGTCCAGTATTGGATTGGTGCAGGGAGGTTTCCTGCACTGCTCCTGTGTGAACTCCGGTTATGACAAGCCTGGGTTCACACAGGAGCAGTGGGGAAACTGCATGAAATTTGTACAATAATCACACCGCTTTTCTGTTCAAATTGTATGCTATTTTTTTGTGCGATTTACATCCATAAATTTTGGAAAGGTGTTCTGTAGTCAACAGGAGGTTCAGTGCTGCCGAGGTAGCATTGTCACCACATCTCAGGCAGTTAGAAGTTTCTTGTCTACCAGCTGCCTGTAAACTGCCCTCTGAAAAGCAAACCACCATGAAACACTACTGCAAGTGTAAACAAGCCCTAATAGCTCATTCAGTCTAGGGGTACGCATCCCTCCAGCGGCATAACTGTTCCTGTTAAGCCTCATTACTAAGGCATGCCCAGCTGCATTCAAGCTCCTGCCTCCTCTAAGTACAGTGCAGGGTTAATAGCCCTGCATTGTACATGATGAAGCTAAGGACCGACCACAGGATATAGTCATAGACTAACTTCATGATATAGGAGATAGACATGAAACAAGATTTAGTCAGAGACTTTAGACGCGACATAAGAGTTGGTCAGAGACTGCAGACACGATACAAGAGTTGGTTAGAGACTGCAGACACGATACAAGAGTTGGTCAGAGTCTGCAGACGCGATACAAGAGTTGGTCAGAGACTGCAGACGCGATACAGGTGTTGGTCAGAGACTGCAGACGCGATACAAGTGTTGGTCAGAGACTGCAGACGCGATGCAGGTTGGTCAGTTGCAGACGGATGCAGGAGTTGGTCAGAGACTGCAAACGCGATGCAGGAGTTGGTCAGAGACTGCAGACGCGATGCAGGAGTTGGTCAGAGACTGCAGACGCGATGCAGGAGTTGGTCAGAGACTGCAGACGCGATGCAGGAGTTGGTCAGAGACTGCAGACGCGATGCAGGAGTTGGTCAGAGACTGCAGACGCGATGCAGGAGTTGGTCAGAGACTGCAGACGCGATGCAGGAGTTGGTCAGAGACTGCAGACGCGATGCAGGAGTTGGTCAGAGACTGCAGACGCGATGCAGGAGTTGGTCAGAGACTGCAGACGCGATGCAGGAGTTGGTCAGAGACTGCAGACGCGATGCAGGAGTTGGTCAGAGACTGCAGACATGCTATAGAAGTTGGAGATTAGGCCCATATTACACGAGACTGCTAGAAATCACTACTGCAACATGGCAATAGGACAATAGGTTTGTGTCCTAAGAGCTGCACAAAAAGTGTCAAAGGGCCTCAGATTGGGCACCAGTGCTTTAGACTTAACAATCGCTTAACCCTTGCAGTGCTCAGGTCTTAGATTTACTAAAATACGCAATATGAGCACCTACCAAAACTATCCAGTCAGACTGGCCCTTGTACTACATAGCTGTTGGTAGATCTAAAGGAGATTTTAACATGGTGAGCGTTACATCAGTGTCTGTGTTTTTCGATTCAAAAACAAGTGCTTTCCACCATAGATTGCCGGAATAGTCTGTGCAGTAGTCCCTGATCCTTTCCAGGTTAACCAAGTAAACAATGCTGGCCGATTCGCAAAGAGGATCATTGTGACAAAGTGTTTGCACCTCTTTTACTTTCATTTTGGAACACCAGCTTATCGTAATAAGTGTATTGCATTTAAAATGAGAACATATTGAGACATGCTAAAATGCAAAAAGGCCTTCTAACTAAGAAATAGTGGTAGCCAAGAAGCTGTGTGTCTCATTCCTCAGATGTCACTAGTCTTTAGTGAATGTACAGGGACATGTTGATTGTGCATGTTAAGGATACTCTTGTAATGACAAATGTGTATGTATTTAGTTATTTTATTTATTTTTGATAAACAGGCCACACTCAAAGCAGATTGTGTAAATAAACCCTTTGTCCACCGTTGTCAAGATCTGGTCAGAATTATTGAAGATTTCCCTGCAAAGGTAACAAGAATACACTGTGTTGACTGAATGGCAATCGATGACTTGCTATGCTATGAGTGTTTTCTTCTTGATTTCTCCTATTCCTTTTTGCTACACTCAAACGATATCGAATATCAAAGCTGTGTAAAGGATAAGTTCACCTTTGGGAACATATTACATATTCCATCCGTTTAAGGGTGGAACTTGTAACACATTCCCAGTGCTGCAGCCTCTGCATTCCCCCACCCCTCTGTGACAGAAGTGCGGGGAGACGTTCGCTGTACTAGCTATCAGTATTTGAAAACAGCACTGCCATGCGGGGCTCCGCCCACACGGCCGCGTCATTCATACACAGTGTTCTGTGAAAGAATAAACTATAAGTCCCGAGAGCCTTAGCGGCTGTCTGCTTGTAGTCCTCAATGAACTACCACGGCGATGTGGAGCGTTTATTGAATCTTACTGTCAGTACATCTGCTCACCTGTATGTCCCGTACAGGCAAGCAGATATACTGACAGGTTTGCAGGAGACCTGCATGGCACACGTGAGCTGCTGATCGCAGCCAAAAGTAATAACTGCACATTTTTCTACCTGCAAAAAAATGTGCATTTATTATTTTTGTGCAAAAGGTGACCTTATCCTTTTAAAGATAGTGTAAAATCTCCCTTTGGTCAGTTAAAATGGAACTTTACCTAGAACATCTTGATAAAAAATAATGTTCATTAACAAGGAACATACAGTACATTCTACATTAATAATTATGGTACCGAAGTTAGTGTGTGCTGTAAATTGCCTTCAGAATTGCTCCTGTTTCTTCTTGCCAGAGGATGTTCTTTTGCTGAAGCCCAGAACACTCGAGCAGCATTAAATCTTTAGGTTGTCAACAGATCGGCCTGTGCAGAACCGGTTAAGACCGTGTATTACCCTTCCTGCCCAGTGTCATTAGTACAGTGTCATTGCTTTGTATTAGCACTGATCACTATATTAGTGTCAGTGGCAGTTCCCTCCCAGTGTCATAATGCCTGCCGCAGTCCCACTATAAGTCGCTGATCTCCGCCATTACTAGGTTTTAAATAGTATAAGCACTTATTTTGAATGTTTTAAATAGCTATACCTGCAAAAAGGGGCTAGCCTGACATGATCTAGCATGACTTAATTTTCTGACCAATGTTCCACCTTAATTTCACAATTCTCTGAATAAGTACATACAAATCTGCAAAGAAACATACAGTTTATGAAGAATACCAGGATCCTCTACATGTCAGATCTACATGCAAATATTCCGGGGAATTAGAAAATTGATGAATTAGTGATTCTCCTTAACAGCTTCCCGACCGCCCTATAGCAGAACTACTGCTATATATATGTTATTTTGCATTTCCGGGTAGGGGGCACACGCGCACTGCCCTACCTGCACTGCTATTGGCGGATACAGTTGTCGATCGCTGGGTCCTAGACGGAGATTTCCCGCCAGCACCCGGCGATCGCTGAGGAACAATGACAAGGGAGAGGTCTGTACTTAAACAATACAGATCTCTCTCCCCTGTCTGCACCATGCTGCTTTGTATTGCTTTACATAGCAGAGCAATACAAATCAGCATGCTTACATAGTAAAACACACACACACACTTAGTAAAACAGCGCACTGTTAACCCTTTGATCACCCCAGGTGTTAAACCCTCCCTGCCCAGTGTCATTAATACAGTGTCAGTGCTTTGTATTAGCATTGATCACTGTATGAGTGTCACTGAGGATGTCAGTGGCAGTTCCCCCCCCCCCCCCCCCCCCCCCAGTGTCATAATGTCTGCCGCAGTCCCGCTATAAGTCGCTGATCGCCGCCATTACTAGTATATAAAAAATAAACATTCCAGTGTATATATATTGCCATTTGTAGACGCTATAGCTTTCACTTAATAAAGTTACACGTATTGGGATTTTTTTTTTTAGCTAAGACATGTAGCAGAATACATTTTGGCCTAAATTTATGTCAAAATTTTTATTATTTTTTCACTGGATATGTTTTATAGCAAAAAGTAAAAAATATTGGCTTTTTGTTTTCAAAATTGCCAGTTTTTTTTTTTTTTTGTTTATTGCAATAAATAAAAAACGCAGAGGCGATAAAATACCACCGAAAGAAAGCTCCATTCGTGGGGAAAAAAAGGACATAAATTTCATTTGGGTGCAGCATTGCATGACCGTGCGATTGTCAGTTAAAGTAACGCAGCACCGTATCGAAAATAGCCTGGTCAGGAGGGGGGGGGGGGGGGGTAAATCCTCTGGAGGGCGAGTGGTTAAAGGACAAGTTCACTTTTTGGTGCATGTTGCACCTATTGATTCACAGGAACTTGTGAATGAGAAAACTTCAGGATCCATCTTCCACTGCAGCAGATGGCTTGTAGTTCTCAATGAACTGTGAGGGTGCTAATGAGATTGCTTGTAATGTATTCACAAGCCCTGCAGCTTTCAAGCTGGCAGTCAATACAGTAGTACAGCATGAAACTGTAGGGCTTGTCTGCAGGAGCCTGAAATTTCACCTGTAATCCGCTGATCATGGGTGCAATGCTTTGCAGGCTCCTGTACGAAATAATTGCACTTTTGTTTTTTTGTTTTTTTTATTTGGCAACAATGTGCATTTATTATTTTTCCCAAACGGTAAGTCTCTTCGCAAAAGCTGCCAATGTTATCAATACAAAGTGGAATATTATCCTTTTAAAGTTATGTAAATTGACGGCGCTATATAAGTACCTGGAATAAATAAATAAATAAATTGTAACCATTTCATACTGAAGTTGCAAAATCTTGATGGGTTAAGATGGAGCTTTTAAGTGTATCTAAACCCAAAAACAAAAATGTAACATATTGCAGATTACCAGTAATTAGATATGGTGTCTGCATTTGTTTTTCAGTATTTTTTCCCTTTTATTTTCATCTGGTGATCCTGCCAATAGCACACTTCCTATTTTTGGTGACTATGCTCACTCTTCTTTTTATCTATGGAAAGAGCCATAGTTATCACACTGTACTTCAAACATTTTGTCTCCATTCCATAGAGGATGATGGGATAAGTAGTTTTCAAGTAAAGATAAGATTTCGTTTCTTACTGTCTGTCCAGCTCCCTGGAAGTGGCAAGGACATTGTATTTCTGGGAAGGTTAACAGGTATTTTGTGTACTAACGTTGAACTAATGCAGTCACCACATCTAAAGACTAGTAGGCTGTAAAAAAAAAAAAAAATATATATATATATATATATATATATATATATATATATATATATATATATTTTTTTTTATTTTGATCTGGTTAGTTACTTCAGGATGTAAAAGGTTTAAAGGATGTCTATTTAACATTATTTGTCAATGTCTAATTTATTTACCTCTGGTCAACTTTTGAACACCGCCTCCTTAGTGGAGATGGATTGTACAAGATTGCTTCTTCTTGCCTGACCAATAGGCTGCTTTTCAATTATGTGCTTTCTCGGTACTGCAGAGATTACTTCACATATAAGATTGGCTGAAAGGAAAATGATATTGTATGTATCAAAAGGATATATGATAGATCTTTATTTCACATATCCACCTGCTTTTAATCTGGAGGAGTTTTACAGGTAGCAATTCATATTTATTCAGCAATTGCTAGTGTAAAAATTGGACTAGATGTTTGATCATACCTCTTCTTCAAGAATTGTACTTTATGGAGTAACAAACCTCCCCCTGTCTGTTTCCCTCACTTATAGCTCATCTGTAAGTCAAGCAGTCAGATTCAACATCTGCTTTTCTAAGGATTTATCTGGAGAGTTTCAACTAAGTGCTTTTAATCAGACATCAAGAAATATAGTGTTACACTTTAAATGATTTGTAGCTGTCAAAGCATAGTGCCAAAGAATGTAAAGCATATATTCACATTAGATGTCATTGTTCTGCTTTCAGGAACTTCATGCTATCTTCCCATGGCTAGTAGAGCTGGTCTTTGGCAGCCTGGATGGCAGTATAGTGGGCTGGAACCTGAGACATCTGCAGGATAGGATACCTTTGGAGTTTCAGACTGCACTGGAATTCCTGCATCCTAAGTAATTACATATCCATTTGCTTCTACTTTGTTATGCAAGTGATTTTTGTTGTACTACTTTTTTTTTTTTTTTTTTTTTTTTTCAGCTCTAATTGTTCTATATTCGGTATTTTGGTATGTGCTGCAGAGTTGAGTCATTATACTGTATGATGAAGTTTCACTCTTTGTTCAGATTTGATTAATTTTACAGTTTTTAGTTCTAGCACTGCTGTGGCAAAGGCAATAACGCTGCAAGTTGGGTGTACCAGATCCAGGAATTACTGCTGGTAGATCTCGCAAGAGATTATAAAAGCCACTGGCTAATCCAGCACACAAGTCTACAGATATCATTGAAATACCTTAACCTTTAATAAACCTGATTGCATAACTTGTTTCTTTACAATGAAAATGCAAGGTCCACTTATTAGATGAGGGCCCCTTCCCCTGTACAAATTGCCATACATTACAAAGGCAAAAATGTACCTGTAGGGGAAAAATTTAGAATAAATACTTACCCGCATCATCCACATTGCAGGATGTGATGTCACTATCCTTCTCAGGAAAGGATGAGTACCCCAGATCTTGTGATAAGACAGTCAGAGATCCAGTTTAGGAACATCTTTTTGCAAGATTTGGAACCCTCAACATTCCCAGGATCCCACCGTTAGGATCTTGATGTTACCCTTGCTTAGGCATAGCAGACATAAGATGGGGTTAAAGTAAGTATATATTTTAATGTTTTGGGTTTTTTTTTCTCATGGGTACATTTTTTGTTTAATATGGTGATTTTTACAGGGGTAGGGGTCCCTGATCTAATAGGCACACCATGCATTTTACAAAAAAAGTGGCAACCACCCCAACCTATAACTGGCCTTTGCAGCAAGGTGCACATGGAAGGGCAATACGCGTAATTTCCAAGCTCACTCACCAGCCAGCCTTCAGAACAACCGAATTGGCCCTGTATAACCATTTGCGTTATAAACAGAGGGTTTTATTTGCATATATTTGCAAATATATGCGTAAGCCGCATTGCCACATCAAGGGACTTCTGTATATACCATGGCCCTAACTTTTTAAATTTCCTGAGCCTCCATAGTAGGAGACATAAAGGAATGGATAGATTAAGGGCAGGTATGGTCAACCCAAAACAGGCATCTGGATACTGGACAATTATTAAAAATCCTGTTAGTTGCCATTTTCAACCACTCTGCTATCTTGGGAAAGGAAGGGGAGGAGGAAAGTGGGGTGCATGGGAGTGCTTTGTCATTCTAGGCTATATTGTTGCACACAGTGTAGGAGACACAACTCTAGTTCCCGCATGCAATGTTGGCTCCATAGGACACTGCCATAGAATGGAGCCACTGTGAAACAGAAGGCCTGGGGCAGCAGCCTTGGCACCAGCTTAGACAGGAACTTAGGTAAGGATTAAAAGATAAAGAAGCTGAATAATCGGGTAAGTGATTAAATTAGCTGCTAAATGTTGAAATAGGGTGCAAACTTCTGTCTTCCATGTAGAAGTGATCTGTTTTGGGGTTTTATATACATTATTAAGTTGAAATTTGCATTTTTTTCATACAGTATGTGCAAAAAAGTGGGAAAATTGGTCTGGCAGTAAAAAAGATTAAACCCCTGATGACTTTTCTTTTTGCTATCTCTGATTATTTGGGAGGATTTTCCTACAATTCTTGGCTTGAGACAGAAAAGGAAATGAGGAGTTCTAGCCAAAAGGGGAATGTTCTCATGGACAGCTGTCACTTAAAAGAAGTGACCATTGAAAAATGTACCTTCTATCCCTGTTCCAGTGACAACTAAACATTTTTTTGGTTTTCTCTTGCTTTCAGTTACAATGGTCACCATAAAAAAAAAAAAAAAAAAAATAGTGGGCAGAGCTCCCCAGCAGCAACACAGACCAAGAAAAAAAAATCTAAAAAAATAAAATTGACTTGAGTGTCTGTCTGATCCTTCTCCAAAAAAAATAAACTGTGACTTTACATACTTCTTTTTTTACTGTATGAGATGCACGTTAAAATATTATTTTAGGTAGTTTATAGGAAAACTGTAATTGCTGTTTGAGAGGTTTACAATTAAATGATGATTTGTAATTGTAAATATAACTAATACAGAATCCAGAAGTGTTCTGTACAAGAAATGTGGCTATGCCAAAGTTTCAGGTAATGTGTTTGCTCGGTGCAACTGTACTTGAAAGTATTGCACTGATGCCCAAGGAAGATTGTTAATCATAGTAGACACAAAATATGTTTTTTTTTCTTATCTATTCGGAGAGGGGGGGGGGGGGGGGGATACAATACAAGGGGTGCCAACATCCCTAGAAGTATAGACAAAGAAGGGTGAAAGGTCCTTTACTGGGTGTTACTTGTATAAATTATTTTTAATTTATACAATCGTAAAAAAAAGACATTTTGCTAGTCCACTTTTTCTGCCCCTACATGAGGCTATATGTCATGCCTCTTTGAGGACCTCTGAGGAAGAGACGACGCATGTGTCAGTTGCAACATTTGCATGATCAAGCTCTCATCTTTAACACTAAGTCACACACCCTATCATTTTTACCACCATAATCTATGTATTTTCACTTATGTCTATTTTTAACTACCATAATCTATATATTTCCACTTATGTCTATTTTTAAGATTGTATAAAATAAAATTGAGCGTCATGTTTTTACTGCTGATTTAGTAGTCTATTTACAAATCTGTGCTTTCAAAGTCCCACCCGGTAGAGGACCTTTCCCCCTTCTTTGTCTTTTCTTATTCGGGGATGTAGGAATTCAGATTGTTAGATTATACTGCTGCCTACAAATGACTGAGCTAACTGAAAAAATTGGTAAGCCTGCCCAGAATACCCTCTCCTCTACCCAGTACGACTCCATTTTATGCTAGTGTCCTAGGAGAGTTGACTTATTTTCTTCAACTGTGCTGAGAAATGTCTAAACAGTTTTTGCTAGCATTTTTATTTTGTGCTTTTGATTGTTCATCCCACTCTCTTCAATCAAGATTCCTCCCTATGTAATTTCTTAAGTCGATTGCTACGTAGAAGCTCCCCGGGTACTGCTGGTTTTATCAGAAAAAGGGTTAATACTGAAGGTCTAAGTTTAGGATCTGCTGGATCCTACCCACTATTAAGTATGGAGGAATCGCCAATCCAGCTGCTTCTCCTGCTTTGCAAAGCACCACATAGAATTCCGATCTTGGATATGTTCCTACTGTCTGCCTACAGTGACCTCTCCCTTGTGGCCTGCCCGACCCTCATCAGTGCCAGCTGCCTAGGTTTGCGAGTACCTGAAACCTTGTCTTGCACTTTGGTTTGGGCGCAACATGTCTGCACATAGGCAAGAGGGGGCAGTCCTGTTGTTACAGGTGACCCCTAGCCCATACTCTCAACAGTTTCAGGGGTGTCTGATTGCTAGCCTTTCAGAGAACCAAGGCTTGCAAGCTGGAATCCTGTGACCTAGAAAATAAATGGTCTACTTCATCAGACTCTCCTTCAGCTCCTCAGAGTCCCTTTCTGCCTTCAGCTGCCTCTTGGCAGCTCAAAACTTTGTGGCTGGATTTACCAAATTCCCTGCAGATACTGACCGCAGTGGCTGTAAGCGCACCTTCCGCTATAGAGTTTTTGATCTTCCTTTGGCTTTAGAATAGGCCATGCAACTGAACACTGACCATCTCAGATGCATATTTAAACCGTCCATACATGGATCGGCATTTGGCTGGTTCAGCAGGGACCAGACGAATTCCGATCCATGTATAGGAGGCTGATTGTACAAAAGTCAATCTGCCATCTCCTGCCATTATCTCAGGATTACAAAGGATCATTTTGGAACTCACTAATTGTTCAAATGCAGGGTAGTAAGCACCAAATCAGTGCGTTCCAAACTGATCCTTTGTATATCTGATATAATAGCAAGAGATGGCAGATTGACTTCTGTACAACTAGCCTGCCCATACATGGATCAAAATTTGTCTGGTTCAGCAGGGACCAGACGAATTTCAATCCATGTATGGGCAAGCTGGTTGTACAGAAGTCGACCTACCGTCTTCTGCCATTATCTCAGGATTACAAAGCATCATTTTGGAAATCATTGCTGTGGTGCTTACTACCCTGCATTTGGAGAATCATTCTGCTGTCTCCAGCTTTGGAACTTTCAGCTCCTACAGCTGTAAAGACCTTACCAATACACCTGCTATTTAAATGGTGAACTATACCGAGTAATGATCAATTGATCCAGTGACTCACCTGAACGGGAAAACTAAGACCGGTAGGTGTGCTTACCTTTTTTAAAGGATTCTACCGACCCAGTAGCTAGAATTACTCTTTAAATCCCAATGTGATCTGGCAGATTTTTTCCCTCCATCCTGTGCTGGCAATGACCTAATCGAACGTGTGGAACAAATGGCTAGAGCCTTACGCTTATGTTGTGATGGCTTGTTACATGCATCTAAACTTATTTCTCACATGGGTCTAATATCCATACAGATGCGCTCAACACTCTGAATATGATGCTGGGATGCTAACAACACATCCAAAGAGCGTCTGACTTGCTTGGCCTTCGAGGGATGTTGTCTCTTTGGCCCTACACTTGCTGTACTCTATACTGTAATTAGGGATGCCACTGGTGGCAAGAGATTACTCCTGCTTCACTGTAGGTGGTCTAGGGATAGGTCAGCTGATTCCCACCCTTCTCCTTAATTTCTTTCTGTATTAGGTGCCTGCAGTCCCTCAGAGCTTAATTCCTGGACAGCCCATAGGGCTAATCCCTCTGAAAATCATTCTGCATAAAAGTGAACCTCCAATACTACTAGTAGGGGGTGATTTGTAATGCTGGTGTGTCCTTTGGTAGTCAGGTGCAAAGTTCCCGTCCTGCTTCTTGATTCCTTGCTCCAGCCCATGTGTTAACTCAGTGTCTGGAGCTCTGCCATATCTGGGCTTCCACTTTCTTGTGTTTGGGACATGAAGGCCATTCATAGTACATGGCACCACTGCTCTCTGGTCCAGATCAACAAGATTGATCTGGAACAGTTCTGACTTTTCTGTTTCTACCTGGATTTCTTGTGTTGCCAAGGAATACTTGCAACTTCTCGGGACATTGGCTTCTGTGTTCAGTCTAGGGCTTTTTCCTGGCATCTCTTATTGTGGGACAGTGGTATGACCTCCTGTGAAGAAAGTCAATTTTATGGCTGCTGGTCAGCAACTTCCCTCAGAGCTAACCACTGGCAAAATCATATCAGGCTTTGCCAGGTTCCAGGGTTGGTAACAACCTATCATCTGTGGGCAAGGTTTTTTAACGTAAGCCTACGCAGCAAAGGTCCACAGCCTGTGTACCCTGTTTTGGCGGTTTTGCTACCGCACTTATTCACCTTTTGTACATGAATTTAGCCAATCTTGATGTGGCTATTACCAATAATGTTAATAGCAAAGGATGACAACTGTGCAAAAAATTAAAATCTAATGTATTTACACAGAAAAAGAAGCTTGCTATTAATAGCATATAACAATATAATGTAGCCGGTATAACTTTAAAAGTAGTAATATTACTATGCAAATACAGAATGTTACCAGTACAAAGAAAGATGACTATAGGAAAGAATGTTACAGAAAAGAAACAGAAAAATACATTACGCAGACATCCTGATGACTGGTCTTCCAAAGAGACAAGGGGACAAAGGCAGTGTGTCTCTCGTTTTGGACCACCCCTAGACTCACCCACCCAAGTAAATTCACACCTTTCCACATATCTTAACCTCCAATGGGTGGGCTCAGAACACTGGTCAGTTTAGTTAAAGAAAAACAGGAATTCCCAGTTGCCTTCCTTCCCCCTCACCTCAATTGAGTCTTTTGAAGTGTCATCCCCCCACAGTTCAAAAGTTCACAATAACCTTCATGAAGGTGAAAATTACTATAGGCCCAAAATTGCCATTACAACCCTCAGATCCTTGTCATCATATGTGGCGTTAACCCCTTCTCCCTTGTGGGAGTGTCAGGTGTTGTGGGTCCCTCCTTTCAAGTTCTCCTCCCCTCTTCCATTATTTCCCAGCCATTTCAGTTGCATCTCTGTTGCCTTAGGTCTGGGTCCAGATCGTCCCTGGTGTGATCCTTCAGCCTCTTTTGGCAGACGAAATAGTTTTTTCATCCAATATACGAGGGGCTTCACTCATTGGATAAACTCCATGCCTAGGTTTACCATCTTGCGTTTCAGAAATGATAGTTCCTTTCATGCCAAGGGAAGTAGCCTTGTGCCGGTTTCACTGGACACCATCTAGGTGTTGCAATGAGTAGGGAAAGACTGGCAGTCCTTCTTGCTGCTGGAGGAGGTAGTCTGATATTTGCTTTGGACGATGCCAAGAATCCTTGCCTCGCTTGCACTGTTTCGCTTAAGAGTAAGGCTTTGATATTGGTTCCTCTCATCCAGCAGCCTCTGCATCAAGAGGTTCGCACACACAGGTTCACCTCAGATTTTGCATGGTGGGCAGAGCTCATTGCTGGAGTGCTTCCCTGGATCAATAGCAAGGTGAACACCCTATTTTTCTACAGATACCCTCTGCCAGGTACAGAGAATTAAAGTAAGTATCATACTCACAATAGACATAAAAACACAGGCATGTCAAACTGAACAAGATGTATGATCCAAACAACATCTGAGTCCATAAGATGGAACCCTGGATGACCAACTGGCTAACGCTTTTCGAGGACACAACCTCTTTCTCAGAGCTCATACATCTTGTTCAGTTTGACATGCCTGTGTTTTTATGTCTATTGTGAGTATGATACTTACTTTATTTCTTCAATAAATATTTTAAACGATAATGCACTAGGTCGGTGCGCCCTTTTTTTGTTTCTCCATTTGCATCCAGTGTATTTGGACCACCCCGGTCTGTTGAGGGCAGCAAGCCGTGCATATTCCAGAACACTCCTATTGGGTCTACTGAGTCTTTTTTCCTAGCGCAGGAGAAAAGTGTTTGTTTTGCAGGTACAGAGAATGTCTTGATGACTTCAGGGAAACCTGTTCACTTAGGGACTTGGGGACTGTTGCTAATCTGCATCCTCTTGATTAGAAGGCCTTTCAGAAGCCTTCTCTTGTTATGCCCTTTGAGCCTGTGGGTTTGAGCCTTTGCGATCTCGGGAGCCACTTCACACACCTTGTAGGCTTTTGTCTGGTAAGTACAAAAATTCTGTTATTGTCCCTTGCCAAATGTTTGGTGAGGCGAGGCCGCTTTTTCTTGTTAACTGAATTGGGATGTCATTTGTGATTTGTTGATTGATATACTTTTCTCTGTTCTCATCTCTAATGGGTTTTTATTTTGTAATGGTTTATGAATTTTAAATAATATTTTCTTATTTACTCTTTCTTTTTAAACACAGTGGTGCGATGATGAAGCTTGTTTATAAGCTACAAGCAGAGGAATACAGATATGATTTCCCTGTCTCATATCTGCCAGTAAGTTATCTTTTTTTCTACGTTGTTGCTGTGAAAATAATTCACAGTATATTCACTGTTGTCTCCGGCTGTCATGGCGATAATGTGGAATCTGTCAGTATACGATTAACAACCCAGCTAATCATATTTGGTTTAATTGTTGCTTACCTCACCTTTTTGTTTTGGTTAATCAGGGTCCAGTCCGTGCATCTATACAGGAGCGAGTTTTACCTGAATGTCCTCTGTATCATAACAAGATCCAGTTTCCAACATCAGGAGGGCTTGGCCTCAATCTTGCCCTGAGTATCCTTTATAACTGTTTGTTTATATATTAATTTATACTTATCCTGTGTATGAAATTGTATTTGTAAAATATAACACCAGAGAAACTGCCTAGCAATACATATATGGTTATTGTTGTGAAGTAAAATAGGCGGTTCTGGCATGTGATTTCCTTAATGTATTCCTCAGACCCTTTTGAGTACTTCATTTTCCACTTTGCTATCTGCCTCATCAGACATAGAGTAAGTGAAGACTTTATGGATATAACATTTTGTTGGTAAACAAGTGTCCATGTAAAAAAAACATATTTGGTGCAATGCTAAGTAATTCAAGAGATTCAATTTTATAACTGTTTTGGCGGATTTGCTACCACACTTATTTACTTGGTTCTATCTAAGGTTATAAATGTAATAAGTGATTACAACCTTTTGTCTATACATGAATTTAGCCAATCCTTATGTGGCTATTACCAATAATGTTAATATTAAAGGATGACAACTGAGCAAAAAATAAAGATCTAATTTGTTTACACAGAAGAGAAGTAGTTACTAATTGAATCAAACTAAAAATATATTACAAAGTAAATAATTTGTTACAGTATAACATACAGTATACTATCAGTATAGAGAGATGACTATAGGAAAGAGTTTTTTTTATAGAAAAGAGACAGAGCAATGCTGATACATTACAGACATCCTGATGTTATGAGGTCTGGGCATCGGAAGAGAACACAGAGACAGAATGCCATACCTTTATACCCCCTCCCCCTACATTCCAGGTAAAGACACACCCTTCAATAGGTTCCGGTATTTTGCCATTTCTGTTCAAAGGGGGGCTCTGTGATTTGTGAAAGACATTGGCCAACTGTAGTTAATTTAGGATAGGCCAATGTCCAGGAAACATACCTCGTTTGAAAACTCAGTTCCCACAGGAAAGTCTATGACAATACTCCCTAGGAGGTGTTAGAAATGACGACTCTAGGGCTTATTCATTTCCTTACTGTCATAAACTTCTACAGGACACCTTCACAGGGAGGGGGGGGGGGGGTTGAGGTGATGCAACAGATGGTAAATAAGTTACAGGAATTGAGACCCCTATCAGAAGTTCACAATAATATTAAAAATTATTGTAGGCCCAAGAAGGTGAAAATTATTATAGGCCCAAAATAGCCATCACATTTCCCCTCAAGTTCATTGGAAAACCTATGCCCTCCCTCAATGATTTTGTACCCACCCATGACCACCCAGAAGGCCCAACCCCCCCACCACCACTGCGGCCTCCTCTTCTTCTTTCTTGATCACAACTCCTTATCTGTCCTGAGTAAACAAAGAAGTCCTGGTGCCTCTGACACCTCACATTCGGACCATGAATGCCTGTGCTGCGATGTTTCCTCGCCCCTCTGCCTTGGAAGGACGGAACTCCAACATCGATGGCGGGATTCTGGTATCTTTAGTCCCGTAGCTTGGGAACACTGTGCAAAGACCGCAAAATGGCACTATTCAACATGGTGAAAGATAGTTGGGAAAGGTCTAGCTTTTGCACCCTTGTCTCAAGAGATGACGTGGTGGTTGTTGTTTCTTCAGGTGGTGGTAGGGCAGGCCTCCAGACAATCATACATGGATACAAAAAAAAGGAGAATGTTATTGGGGGGAAATCTAGTGGGAAGCAGCTGTTTGGCCTTTAAGGTTGTAATCACTTATTACATTTATAATCGATAGAACCAAGTAAATAAGTGTGGTGGGAAAACCGCCAAAACAATAACAGAGCATGGAATTCTGCCAGGGCCAACTCCCCTTCCATCTATCTTCCCTCCAGTCCTATCCTGTTCCAGCCTATATAATTCATTCATATCCTACTCCAGGGGTGTCCAACCCACAGTCCATGACGTCTATGCATGCAGCCTAACCAAAATTGTAAACTTAAAAATGTTGAATTTTTTTTTTTTTTTGGTGGACGTTTATGTAAAATGAGTTTATATTTGGCGAACACATGTGGCCGCAGAAAAATTTGACAGTGTCTCTTCAATAGACTTTTATAAGATTTATCTTCCCAAAGAAAAATGTCCCATTCTTCACAATTGTGCCTTTATCATGTCATCAGTTTTCTGCAGCACCATGTGAGCAACTATTTTAAGAATGAAGCACACGAAGGGCAAAATTAGAATCAAAATGTCTGATAGGCACCGTGGGAATTAATTGAGAATTGCTACTACATCCATCAAACCAGATATTGGTATGTTAGCTTATCAAAAACAGTGTCAAATATTGCACTAGTTTTATGTTGCCCTCTTTTACTTTTATAAAAAAAAATTATTAAAAAAAAAAAAAAAAAAAAAAATGAAGTTTTGTTACTAGGATAGGTACATTATCTATATCAATGATCGTTAACTTGTGATCTTCCTGACTTTTTCTGCTCATCAGCTTTTTTTTATTGTTTGTGTATTTTGTGTGTCGTCCAGGAAGGTTATAAGGTTGGACACCACTCTCTTACTCTATAAAAAAAAAAAAAAGCAATGCCGCTTCTTCCTCCTCTAGAGAATTTATTTACTCATTTTGGAGGGTGTATTATGCTTCTTAATTACTGGGTGCAGGAGAATCATATCTTTACACCAAATCTTATACCTCTTCTCATTTTTCTTTCTCATTTTTATTCTTCTATATGTTAGAGGGCTTAGATTGGCTGAGTCAATTTGTGTGATTTGCTTGCCCTCTCTTTAGCAGTTTTCCATAGGTAATGCTGTAATTGGTCACAGGTATGTTATGCCATTCTTAGCTTCTTTCTGAGAGAGAGGCAGAGCCATATGCAGTACTTGTTTACAATGCTTTATGTAAGGTAAAAGTAAAGTCACACTTGCAAACATGCTGATTGCTGTGATCTTGGAGGAACACACAGTAATGGCAGGCTTTCTCCTTCACTGTCTCTCCAAATAGAAGTAAATTATTTGTTGTAGCTTGAAGAGAGTTTATATCCTATTGGATTATCTACATGACCAATGAGAGTACATTCCTCTTGCCGCAGAAAAAAAAATTACACGTTTAAAGAAAATGCAGACAATTCCTGCCAGAGCCAGCAGGTATGAAAGCAGCAGGCCTTATAATTTATATAGTGATTGCTGATATGTTGTATTAACTGTAGGCATGGATTCCTTTCTTATAGAATGACACTGATCACCTGGCCAGCACCTCTCAGAGTGCCTACTTCATCCTGGTAGATACATACCTAAGATGGTTTCTTCCAACTGAGGGAAATGTTCCACCTCCTAATTTCTTGAATCCTGGTGGAGCTGTGCCATCACCTGCTCCAAGGTAACAGACTTTCTGTCTATATATTTCATGGAACTAGGTTCTGTGTTATTTTTTTGCAGCACACAGTTAAATAGAACTGGCCAAATTTAAGGAAACCTACATGTATTGCTATACAGAAGCTGCTATTGCTGACCACCTTCTGAAAATACTCAGTGCTTGGCTCTCTCTATAGTCAGTACTCGTCACTGACCCACAACACGCATGCATGTTGTTCCTGGTCAGTCTTTGGATCAGTAAAGCTACAGGACATATGACATTTTCCAAGGCAAGTTCAGTAATGGCAGCCTACATATTTGTTCATGTATAGGTTTCCTTTGAGTATGTTTTAAGTTCGTAAGTACTAGTTGCACACCGTTTTGATTCAGTATTATGTTAATAGCTTAGTGAGCAATGCAAACATTGTTATGGTAGATACTATGTACCAAGAAATGGTTAGTCTATGGCTAAGCAAAAATGTGTAATATGCTACTGTTTATGATGATTTTTACTTGCCTATAACCTACTTGTTTTTATACTGTTGAATGTAGTCATTGCCCTCTTTCCCTAGATCACCATCTATTTCTCTGGCATCCTATGGTACTCACCCTAGCCTTCTGAAGAGGCATATTTCACATCAGCATTTGGTGAATGCTGACCCTGCAGCCCAAGAAATCTGGAGGTCAGAGACATTATTGCAGGTATGTGCCAATCAAATGAAGTTAGAACATCCAGCCTTTTTTCTTTACACCCACCTCTGCAAGGAAATTCTTCTTCACCTCCTATTCCATCGCAAAAAAAGCAGATGAGGGAAATCCCTTCAAAGTAAGGGAATCCCTGGTTGTCACCAATATTAGTGTCCCCATTGGAAGATTTATTCTCTAATACTGTTCTGTGGTCAACCCAAATGTTGGTTTTTCTTTTACTTTCACTTGCAATAATAATAGGTAAACATGACAAATCGAGAGGGTAGATCTCCCAAACAGGTGCACAGATGACGACAAAAATCTAACAAGTGTTCTAATCCCTCTCCACTGTATCCAAAACTCAAAAGAGGAACTAACACTAAAAAATTTCCTTGCCATTTCAGAGTTTGATAAGAGACAAGTGCAGAAATTGTGATTTAAGACATTCATTTGTTGTATGCTTATTCTGAGTGTGTAACCCATAGTTGTTAAACCAGATTCAGACAGGCAGCCGAAGGTCAGAAATGGTAGCCTCTATTTTTCTAATGACTGGTGCACTTTGTCTAGTTCAGGACATTGTATGCAATAGACATAGATTATCCCCTCTGCAGATGCTAGCCATTCTGTGTAAACCCAAGGTGTTGCCATCTCCAACCCCAAACAATGTCCATATTGTTGTATACTACACTTCAAGGTATCACAAGTATCGCAGCTTGTGTGTTGTATGCACAACAACTGGCTGCTTCCTTTTCTGTATAGAACAATACAAAATAATGCAGTAATAAACATATTTGGTGGCCACATGTATTTTTCAAATGTTGGCCACTACACTTCTTAGTTAGAAGCACTTGTGCAAATTCTCTATCATTTACAAATATCAACCTGTATGCAAAACTAAAGAAAAAAGTAGATGCATTTATATGCATATTTACATTAATTAATTAATATTTTAGAATCTATGGTGAAAAGCAGTCAGTCATCCTTATTTTGTTGTGTTTTTTTTTTTCCCCCCAGATCTTTGTGGAGATGTGGCTTCACCATTACTCTCATGAAATGTACCTCAAGATGCAGTCTCCCCATGCTAAGGTAATGGCTTATTTGCAAGATGTAATGTGTACTTCTGCATAGTTAACCAAATGTTCAAAGTAAATTTATTAAAGTGACATTTACTTTGCACATGCAGGGTGAAATACCAAGGTCATTTCACCTTCCTGGGTTAGAGAAGCTCAAGATGCTGTGCCATTGCCAGAAGCCAGTAAAAGAAACCCTGTGTAAGTTCCAAACTGAATTTTCAGGTCTTACACAGGGCTGAGCACTCCCTCCCCCATGTAACCGCTCTGGACTAATCGCCAGGCACAAGCACTTTTAGGTGAGCGAAAGTGAGTAACATGCTGCTTCATACTTTGAAACATTGGGGGGGGGGGGGGGGGGGGGGGGGTTAGGATACGGGTGTGGTGGGGGTTAGGGAGGGGGGGGGGATGGGGGGTTGAGGGGAGGGGGTGGCTGTAAAGGGTCACTTTAAGCATCTAGCAAATTCACAGTTCATAGAATTGTAGCCAGGTCACAGACCACATAAGTAATTGTTTTCCAGTTACCTGGGAACTGTTTGAAAAGGTGGCTGCACGTTTACAATATTTTTGTGTGTTTTTTGTGCAGAGACTGAGCATTTTGCTGAACTCTGCACACAACTTCTGGCTTTGGTTACAGTATGAGGTTTGCACAGCTGCTATGAATTTCATATCAAATTAAGACTTCCAAGAAGCTAATGCTTAAATCCGTCTTTCACAATTGTCCATTGATGGACATATCTTGATGATAAGTGAGCAAACTAGGGTTACCTTACCAGCTACAGGAGAATATGACACTAGGCACAAGACGTCTGAAGGCCAGTTCCCTTGAGGCTATAACCCCTACCACCTCACACTTACCCCCTCCTGCTTCATGTTCTTAAGAGAATGGATGTTAATTTACTTCAGTTATATTTTTTGTTAGAATTGGAAGATTTTTTTTTCTACCATCAACAGCTACTTGCCAGATCTTAGAAATACTGAAAATCTGTCTAGTAAGCCAATGTTTGCAGGTTTTTTCTGAGTCCGTTAAAGCCTGACTCCTGGTTTGATTGAACTTTAAATTGTTTTGTTGAACCAAGGTGGTCCATGCAAACCATTTCACTTCACTTGCAGGTGTGCTTGCTGTGGGCGATGTATAAGCTGTATGTAGCATTAGCTACATACAAAATACAGCACTGTGTTCCAGCAACAGGACAGAGACTTATGTGCAAGAACCAGGATGATTACTCTTAAGCGGAGGTAAGAGCAAAGGGAAGAGCATCATCTGATTAGTGATTTCTCCCACAGCAAAGATAAAAAATCGCCTATGACCGGAAAAAATAGGAAAGTGTAAATATGCCTCCCTTATATGTTGATGGATATCAACAAATCTCTCTGACAGAGAAGCAAAGACTGCCTCCTTTTAAATACTGGTAGGGAAAGGTTTCATTTGATAGCAGATTTATATATCTGTCAGCTGGGATTTCTAGGGCTGCCACAGATATTTAGAATTAAAGGAACATAATTATACAGAGAAGGAAGGGGTCAACCTGTGGCTTACCCCTGCAGTAAATTCATGCTTCTCCAGTGAAGAACCAAAAAGTTTTCTATGAAGGGTAAGTAAAACAAACCTACCTGTCTTTGTCACTCACATTGTGGATATTGGAAGGCTTCCAATAGATCCTGAACATTGGTAAATTATCCCTGATTCCACACTTGGAGTACTTGGTCCTTCTCCTGGATACCTTTTTCAAACCAAGGTCTTCCTGCCTCAGGAGTAGCCGACAGAACTGCAGAATCATGTTCAACAACTACAAGCCTGATGATGTTTTTTTTTCTGCGGAATTGAATGCGAGTGCTGGGGCTGATAGTATCCACCTTTTACAGCACTTCCATTTGCTCATTTTCCCTCAAGAACATTGCAATGGAACATTCTCACACAGTGGGATAAATCCAGTCTTTTTTCTCTGGACAGGATAATCTGGCTACATGAACCAAGATGTCTGTCATGGTGACTTCTGTCCCTGCCATTCTCTGAGAGTAGATTTTTTTTTTTTTTCCTTTCCATTAAAATGGACCATCTGTTTGTTCAGGGTTGTTAGTTTTAGGAAGAATTGTCGCTTTCAGCTTTATCTTGGAGTTGCAAGCAATTTTCCTGTCCTTTGTATTTGGAACCTATTCATGACGGCACCTTGACATTGCTATCCTGTTCAGTAGACCTCTTGTGGCCTGAACCTTGGTCAAAAGAGTTTGAGTTATCAGCTTTGTTTTAAAGGGAGCCCCAATTCTCCTTACATTAGACACAGTTATTTGACACCAAAGACCATGTTTTTTCTCCAAGTGATCTCTTCCTTTCAGTTTCTTGAAAACATTTTGTTATTTTTTTTGTGTCCAACACTGATTTATCCCATGGAGATCTCTATCCATTACTTGTATGCATTTACCTCTTGGCTACTGCCTATTTTAGGCAGATGGATTCTTTGTTTTTCCAGAAGATTTTAAAAGAGGTTCTCCAGTTTCTAGAACCATTATATCTGTGGTTTTGACAGGTTGTTGTGTAGGCTACGAAATGCGGGATAAAGTGTTTCAGTTTCCCGTTTAAGCTCAATCCACTAGGGCAGTGAGTACTTCCTGGGTCGTAATCGTCAGCAGAGCTCTATCTCAGATCCGTTTGGCTGCTACTTAGTCTTCTGTACTTATGTCCGCTAAGTTCTATAGGGTCAAAGTGTTTGCCTCAGCTGATGCTAGTTTTGGTCAAAATGTTCTGCAGACAGCTGTTTAATGCCCTTTGTTCCCTTTTACCTTGTTGGGTAGGTTAATTCAGATTTTTTTTGCGGTGCCTGCCCCTCTGCTTGGTTTATTTTTGGACGTCCATAAGTTGATTAATTATCATTAAGCTGTAATGGAGGAAAGAGGATTTTTGTATTAACTGTAAAATCCTTTTCACTGATTCCATTGTTATAGCTCCCTCATATTTATTGTTTTTCATTTGAACTGCTTGCTACAACTGATCAGGTTTGAGATGGGAGGGGTTATAGCTTCAAGGGGTATGGCCTTCAGTCTTGCGCCTAGTGTCCATTTCTCTTTTAGGCAGTAATATAACACTAGATTACGTAATTATTTTCAAGCTGTGTCCCTTAAAGTACTCTGGGAAAATGTTTTATGGTGAGTATAAAAATCCTGTTTTTTTTTTTTTTTTTTTTTGGGGGTTTTTTTTTTAATCCATATTTTTCAGTTGTACACACTCTTGGCTCCTACATGCAATTTTTAGTGTCGTTTTCTGTTTCAATATTTTTAATCATTTTTCTGTTTTCAAACTTTGAATGGCTTGGTGTTGTAAGATATTCTGTGCTTTGTGTCTTTGTCATGTAAGTGTTTGTTTTTTTTCTTTTGTTACTCTTGAGTCTTGTTTGTGTATACTTTTATATGGTGCTTTAGTAGCTATAAAAAGAGAAATGTATGTACCAGTCTAGTTGCATTCTGCATTGCAGTAGCATACTCCAAACGTACATGTTACTTATATTACTGTAAGCGTACGTTGGAGAAATGTTTGGATATCAGTGTTCATGATGCCCAGTCATTTCTCCACACTATGGTTTTTCTCTCATTCCATAATTTTGTGTTTTGTTTCTCTATTTCTTTTGTCCCCAATCCTCCCCATACCCTATTCTCTTCACCTGTTGGCTCCGGTGTGCATCTCCCAGCTGGAAGCTCTCCACTACAGGCTTAGTGTATCCAGCACTTCGTACATTAGTCCTGGTCTGCCTGGGTCCCTCCATTCTTACCAAGTACTTCCAGCTTTGTGGGAAACATTCTGCCATGTGAATCATATGAAAGGGGAGGGAAAGCTGGCTTCTTCTGCCATTTTACATCACCTAAGCCAATGTGCTATGGGGCTCTGCTGTACACAGACAATCTTAAGCTGCATAAAAGGGCACTTTAACAATTGTTGACTGTGGTGTATTGCTTTAAGAAATGTGTCCTTAATGCTTGAAGCCTGACTCCAGTCACAAATCCTTCTGTCATCAGGACAGTAAGGTTTCAATCCTTCCTTGCCCTATTTACAATGAAACCAAAAAGGGTTTTGGCTAGAGTTGGGCTTTAACGTATTTCTGTGGATGTTGCTCTTCTGCTTTGTAAATTGTTGCAGGCTTACTCTCTGCTAATAAAATCATCAGGCTTCTTTGCTATCTGCAGCTGGCTGATACTCTTTAAAAAAATTAAAAAAAGTACTAAACTGCTTTGGCTTGACAATCTGTAATCGTGGATATGAGTTTGGTTAAGTTTTTGTGGTTGAAAAGATGCATTCACCCTTGTACATGTTATTCAGGTGGTTAATGGTTCATTTGATCTATCAGTTTACTCCAAACTAGCCATGCACTAGTGTTCTGATTGCCTTAAAGGGATATTCCATTGTGACACATCTGCAAACCCCTTGGATTTCTACTTTCTGTCAGAGCAACAGGGGTTGACCTATTCAAATACGTTCTGATCAGGTGTTTTGTGTGGGTGAATAAACAACTCTGAATTTGCTGGTACACTCATGGCTGCTGCACAAATTCTTCAGAGTATATCAACACTGGACTGCAACCCACTGCATTTAAGATGGAGCTGTGTAATCTGAAAAAAGGCAATTGATGGACATGTTGGGGATGAATAGAACTACTGCTGTATGATAATTCCACAGTCTTCACATAGCACATTGGGGGTTACTTATCAAGCAAACTGACCCAGTTAGATGCTGATCAGGCTGTCTCTCCCATTGGTACTCTCCTGCGGCTGGTATCCTGGGCAGCCAACAGAGACAGATTTGCAAAAATCTACAACAAATACTGAAGATAGGGCTGATTTTTACTATAAAAAGATGCACAATTAGGAAGTGATGGAGAGGCAGGTTTTAGGGTGCATTCAGTTTGTCCCCAGGGCCGATCACTCACATGTGATTGCTACATCATTGATTACATGCCAGTGGCTGTTATTAGCTGCAAGATCTGCTTTCAGTGGGGCTGCCTCCCACTGGGGTTGTTGCATCTAAATCAGAGGCAGAGTGCATTCGCAGATGTGAATGCACCCATAGTGTGTTGGAGTGCTGCTTTAGAGTATCTGAGGGAAATATCTTTTAACTTTGGCTGTAGTTGTGTTGTAAAATTGTGTCAGTGCTCCTGTTTTTTGCTTTTTCTTGCTGTGCAACAGAATTGATAAATGCCTCCCCTCCTATTTGTTGTATCACAGTCAACAGGAAAAGCTAAAATTTACAAGCCTGAATAGTTCGGTCCGAAGCACCAGGAGAGGGAACTGTCATTTGGCCCTTCCGCTAAATTAGAGAAAGGGACATGGTCACAAAATTATGTCACTGGGTAACCCTGCCTGTTTACTATAGTGACAGGACCGAATGACAGTGCCTTCTCTCCCGGCATCTGGGACTGGACCATTCAGAAGCTAGGCATTATACGTAGTAAGTGGACATACATGTATAACAATGACAACTCCTCCTGACACTTGAAAGCTAGGCATTATGCAGAGTCAGAGGCTATACATGCAAAACTTAACCCCAAAGCACATAGACTAGCATACGTACAGTGGATAAATTAAGTATTGAAGACGTCACCATTTTTATAGGTAAATATATTTCTAAAGGTGCTATTGACATAAAATTTTCACAACGTCGGTAACAACCCATGCAATCCATACATACAAAGAAACCAAAACAAAAAAATTCAGAAATTAAGATTTATATGTAATAAAATGGAATGACACAAGAAAAAAGTATTGAACATGCGAACTGAAATTTATTTAATACTTCCTACAAAATCCTTTGGTGCTGATGACAGTTTCAAGATGCCCCCTGAATGACAAAACTATTCTCATGTGTTGCTCAGGTGTGATTTTGGTCCATTTTTCCACACAAACAGCCTTCAAATCTTGAAGGTTCTGTGGGCCTCTTCTATGAACTCTGACCTTTTTAGTTCTTTTCATAGATTTTCTACTGGATTCAAGTCAGGTGATTGGCTGGGCCATTCTAGCAGCTTTATTTTGACTTTGAAACCAATTGAGGGTTTCCTTGGCTTTGTGTTTGGGATCATTGTCTTGCTGAAATGTCCACCCTCGTTTCATCTTCATCATCCTGGTAGATGGCAGCAGGTTTTTATCAAGAATGTCTTGGTACATTTTTCCATTCATCCTTCCTGCAATGATATGAAGTTTGCCAGTACTGTATGCTGAAAAACAGCCCCACACCATGATGTTCCCACCTATAAACTTCACTGTTGGGATGGTATTTTTGGGGTGATGTGCAGTGCCATTTGACCTCCAAACATGGTGTGCATTATGGCAATTTTGGTCTCATTTGACCAGACTATATTCTCCCAGTATTTCACAGGTTTGTCTAAATGTTGTGCAGCAAACTTTAAATGGGCTTCAACATGCTTTTTCTTTAGCAATGGAGTCTTACGTGGTGACCATGCATACAGGCCATGGCAATTGAGTGTATTACTTATTCAGGGATGCGCAATTCCTGTAGCCCGATGCCCGGGACATGCAGTTCCGGGAGGCGGGCAAGATGTTTTTCTTTATATTTAGCTCTGCTGTGGGCAAGCAGCAGGAATTAGTCGACAGTGTGCTCTCTTGTAAAAGAGAGCGGCAAACTAGCCACTGGAGCTCTTTAAATCCTCTGGCAGGCAAGTGGTTAAACGGGATAAATAATAAAATACAATTTATGTTTTAGTTACTTTTAAAATTACTGTTTAACCACTAGCCTACAGGGCACTAATACCCCTTTCCTGCCCAGGACAATTTCCAGCTTTCAGCGCTGTTGCACTTTGAATGACAATTGCGCGGTCATGCAACACTGTACCCATATGAAATTTTTATCATTTTTTTTTTGTGACAGAGCTTTATTTTGGTGGTATTTAATCAACTCTGGGTTTTTTATTTTTTCTTAAACCAAAAACCACTGAAAATTTAGAAAAAGTTTTTTCTTAGTTTTTGTTATAAAATTTTGTAAAGTGATTTTCTCCCTCACTGATGTGCGCTAATTAGGCTGCACTGATAGGCTGCACTGATGGACACTGATAGGTGGCACTGATGAGGAGGCACTGGTAGGTGGCACTGATGGGCATTGAAAGGCAGTACTCATATATGGCACTGATAGGTGGCACTGACTGTCACGGTTAGGTGGCACTGATAGGCGGCACTGATGCGCACTGATAGGCGGCACTGACTGGCACTGAAATGTGGCACTGATGGGCACTGGCAGGTGGCACTGCTGGGGCTACACAGATCATCAGGGCACACTGATCATCAGTGCCCTGATGATCTGTGTACATGTCCCCTCCGAGGAATGCCGATTGCCGGCTCTCCTCTCCTCATGAAGTGTCAGTGTGACAGCTCCTGGGGAGAGAAATGCCGATAACCGGCATTTCCCTGTTTACATGTGATCAGCTGTGATTGGACACAGCTGATCACATGACCAAGCCGACATCTTTGGCTCTTTCCGTGGATCGGTGATCCGCTGTGTCCGAGGGACACAGCGCACCGCCGATCGCCGCGCTCCGGGAGCTGCACATGCACGGTTAGAATGAGAGGACGTCATATGACGTCCTCCCAGAACGAGAGAACTACCTTGCGTCCGTCATATTACTATATGGCGGGTGGGAGGCGGTTAAAAACTATCACTGGTCAAAACAGAGGAGAGCCTAATTAACAAAAAAAAAAAAAAATATGTAAAAGTCATCTTAAATAATGACAATGTTATCAACAAATAAACAGGCCCTTAGGTGAAATGATAAAAATGCTTTGGTCCATGAGGAGGTGTATCATTACAAGAACGGATGTGGTTAAGTAGGTCAATCTGACTTGTAATTAACCATTAGTTGGGGCTAAAACATAATTTTATCATCCCTTACAAAACTGCAAGAAGCTATGTGTGAACATTTATGTTCTGATGTAAAAAGGGTGCATGCAGTCTTCTCTACACAATTATGTCTTTCTGTCTGCCTCCTATCCTTACATGCTGTGATCATTGCTTGGGTTTCTTTTATTGGCTGGTGGTGTTCTCTTTAGATTTAGATTTTTCATGCAGATGTAATTTTTACTTGACAGTTGTAACACAATCTTTACCGATTGCAGGAATCTTTTCAACCTTCAGAGGAACATGTTTTGGTGGTCAGAGTTCTAGTGAAACATTTGCACACCTTTGCTAATAGTCTGAGGCCTGAGCAGTTATCTCCTTCTGCTCACTCCCACACACCAAGCCCACTGGAAGAACTTAAAAGGTGATATTTGTGTTCTTTGTGTGTATATCTATATATATTTATTTATTTTGATACTAGTAAATATTTAATTCAGTTCAGATTAAACAAAGTACAGTATGGTTAACTTGTAATTAAGGGGAAATACTCGCCTCATCTCCAAAAGTCTGACATCCATAAGATCCCTTGTTGATGCCTCAATCTTCTCTCCAACAAGTTTTCCCTGTAATGGCTGCCCTATAGTTCAGATTAGCTGTTAATCCAACAGCTGTTAATGGCCAATTGTGATTGATAATAAAATTGTTATGCAAGTCTGCACTTTTGTCCAGAAGACCCAGCTTCTTGTTCCGAGGGACCAGCTTGCCCAAGTGTATGGACTTTTAGGACTGTATTCCCACACATAAAAATTTCTGTGGACTTATTGGACTTGTTGCTCCACTTCTCTACTATTTAGTTATTGCTTTGGTGTGCTTATTCCATTTGTATCTAATTTTTTGTTTTTTCTTATACACACATCTTAGACCTCTTGACAGCCATGCCATGGGCTCTTTCAAATCAGCCAGACCTGCTGTATCATGGTCCAATATGCCATCCTGTCTGATGGTCCCTGGCTTTGATGGCTTGGCTGTTTGAAGTCCTGGTCCTAAGAGACAGGAGCACTTTTTGACTGTGATTACTACCCTTCTCAAGAGAAAGTAGACTTCCAGGAAGGTGTAGCATTATACATGGAAGGCTTACCTGGTGTGAAATGCATGCATTCCATCCTCAACACTTCGTTGTGGGGTGGATGCTAGCTTTTCTCAAATTTGGTCTGGAGTTGTCTTTTTGCTTTGACTGCTTTGATGCAGGGATCTGTGAGTTTTTTCATTCAACCAAGTGAACGAAAAAAAAAAAAACTATACATATATTCTAGGGTTTGTGGAGGCAGTGCTAAGATAAAATACACCTTGTTTGCAGTTCTGAAGAGACATGCAAAGCCAGTGGGGGATTCAGCCTTCGAATTCCATGTGTGGTTGAAAAGTTCATTTTGTAAAAAGATCTGATAAAACTTTTTTTGACATGTAAAATCAGAAACTTTTAATATGCTAATTGTCCATAAATCAGATACATTTTTAATATGCTTATTGTCTCTATATCCCTGCCAGGGTTGTTATCCCTCGTTTCATACAGCAGAAGTTATACATCTTCCTGCAGCACTGCTTTGGACACTGGCCTCTTGATGCTTCTTTCAGAGTGGTATGTGTTTGACACCTTTTTATTTTCATGGGAATTTATGTTCTTCTTGTGAATTGAAATGTGTAGAAAGTACTGGTCTATCCTTTTACAGGTACTAGAGTTATGGCTAAGTTATTTGCAACCATGGAGATATGTTCCAGAAAGAGGAGCGTCACCAACTAGCCACGAGCCACAAAATCGCAGTGTTGCAGAGAAATGGTGAGAACTCGGATATTAAAGCCACAATCTTATCTATACTTAAGTAGTCTTTTCTGATCACGTTTTAACTGTATGCAGAGAGCTTTCATTTTACCAACACAATAATCAAAAATTCTTCAGCCTTTCCTTCAGATAAGAGAAGTGAAGCCTCTGTCAGTGTCTGCTATTTTTCCTCTAAAGCCTTGATGTATGACTGACACTGGGAGTTTCATTAACTGAGCCAGCTCCACTGATCAGCTGTTAGTGTGCAAGGGGGCAAAGCAAGCATAGCCTCCACTGTCAGTGTGTGGATGTGCATGTGGCTGGTTTTGGAGCAGGGGCAAAGCATTTTGACTGCCAATCAGTGTAGTAGGGTAGGGGCAGGCGGAAAACATTCTCCTCATTGCTATGTGAGGACCTTCCTCCCCCTTATGTGACATTACATTGCCTGCAGAGAACTTCTAGAGGCTGTGTTGCAATCATCCCTGCATAGGAAGCCTGTTGGGGCGACTGATCTCTAACGCAGGATGTGCCTTGTTGCTTCAAATTTGCAGCACTGCTTTTTTCTCCTAATAAAAACAAACAGATACGACAAGAATGCACTTCAGGTTAAAGTGTATTTTCCTCACTTGCAGTCAAATTTAGGAAAACACAACTATGTTTGTGTTCCTACTTACACAGCATACCTAAAATATTTTTTATGTTTTTAATATTTCCTTCCTTTTTAAATGTTCAGAGCAGGCCTCTGGGCAGAATGCAAGCTCCACTGAAAAATTTCACATTGATTCTTTCCCTAATGACAAAGATTGGCCACACTGAGCTTTTCCTCATTAACATACAATACAAGAAGCCCAGCTTCTAGATCTTTTACTCTTTGTTAGGACAGCACTGTACAGTTATGCAGGCCATAGACGGGTCACGCCGTTATTGGGGCCAGCCCGTTGGCCGTTTTTTTTTCGCGGATCTCATTTATTTTTATTGGTCATGCTGGAAAATCCACGAAAAAACGGCAGTTTTTCGTGGACATGGGTGGCAGCATCGGCAACGGGCTGACCGATTTTTTTTTTTTTTTTTTTTTTTTTTTTTTTTTTTTTTTTTTGTTTATCGGCCGATAAACGGCCCGTCTATGGCCTGCCTTAGCGTTTATTATAGAAAACAGAGCTCCCCAGCCCTCTCAAAAACAGAGAACTAAGTAGAATTGTAAGTACTGGATTTATCTGAAAAGCACATCTAAAATGGTAAGGGGCAGGTTTTAAATATTTTTTAAGTTGTGCTAGGTGAATGGGAACACTTTAATAAATATAAAATGGGTGGTCCGCCACTTTGGCTGCAAATTTGAAATATTATTTAAAGTGATATTAAAAGCTGATTAAAAAAAATAACAACAAACATGTTATACTTGCCTGCTCTGTGCAGGGGGTTTGCACAGAACAACCCTGAACCTCCTCTTCTTGTGCTCCCCGCTGGTGCTCCTCGCCCCTCCTGCCAAGCACCCCCATGGTCAGACAGAGCGTGACTCGGCCCCATCCCCTACTCTAGAGACCTTGGAGAACTGAGGCTCTTGTGCACATTGCTGGATCGAGATTGGGTTCTGGTAAGTATTGGGGGGCTGGAGCGGCTGCTGCACGCTAAAGGTTTTTCACTTTCATGCATAGAATGCATGAAGGTAAAAAAAACTTGTGCCATTCCAACCACTTTAAGGTTTCTTTTAAATGCAGCTACATATTTTTTTCTATGCATAGAATTTAGCTTTAAAGTAATTTAGACTTTCACATTTTGAAACGCGTGTTTTGTGTTTTATTTTTATTAAATGATTTGTCATTAGAAGAAGCTATTAGTGGCTCAATACTGTCACTGCTGAATGCTTAACAGCTGATAAAAGAAATTGGCATATAGAGAGTGAGACGTTTTTAGGGATTTGGATGACTTAGACATGTGTTGTGAGAAGAAACTGTAAAATAGATCTCCTTATGCTATCCTTGCATGTACTGTATATCGTAATATCCTAGTTCACCTTTTTGTTAAAAAAATTAAAATAAAATAATATTAATAATGTGCGTGATTTGGACAGACAGTTACTGAGGTGCAGGAGGAGTAAATGAGTTATGAGGCTGCTCATCAGCGCTCTTGTAATTCATTGAGAACTACATGCCATCTGCTGCGCTGGCAGATGAGACTTTTAGTTCATTCGTTCACAGATCTCTGTGAATGAATGACACGGCTATGTGGGTGGAGCCCTGCACAGTCATACTGTTAAATGTGACAGTGGATGCGGGGAGAGGAACCCCATCTGCTGTGATGTGGAGGTGAGGGAGGAGAAGTTGGCTGCTGCACAGTAACATGGTATACCCTAATTACAGGTGCAATATGTTTAAAAAAAAAAAAAAAAGATCTCCCCTTTAAGTTGTGCTTTTTGTCATGTGGCAACTTTAGACATGTGGTGTGTTATGTGTTTACCCAAACACTCCATAGTTAGCAATAGGCAAAATATTGAAATAAAAAAATGGAAGGTCAGTTTTCCTGCAAAAACTTAATTATTGCAGAAAAAAACTTTAAAAATAAAGATTTGATAAAAAAGATACCTCAGCTTTTGATGCTTCTGGGATGCAAAGGTGCTATCTCTGTACTTCATCGCTGCTTCCTGGAATACCGTAGCTGGCCATTTGAAATCCCCAAATGCACCCCAGCCTATTGCAAAAGTGCATTTTTGAGGGATTTGGAGTGACCAAGAAGTGTGAAGATATCATCTGCTTTTCCTGGAAGCAAGGGAAGCTGGGATCAAGGTGAGTATATTTTTAATCTTTTTTTTTTCCTACATTGTACATCACAAAAGCGTTAATATCCATGACTACATGGGTTATGCTACCACCTTTTAGATGAATGGACACTGGCCCAAAAAAATCCCAAAAACAAACAAGAATCCCTGCCCAGGCATAACCCCACCCAGCTCAGCCAAGCATCATTATCGTGCTAGTGTTTGAAGGTGATAGATGCTTTCCTTGGTCTCTCTGAATATCTCTTCTTTTCAGGAATGGGGTAGAGTTTGGCTTTATTTGCAAATGTTTAAAAACAATTATTTTACATCTGAGGATAATGTAAAATCTTCAAAACATGCTATATTTTCTGAAAGCAGTGTAACACTGAGTAGTGCTAGTTCCTGTTTTTTTATGTTATACGATATTGGCGCAGCAGTTTACGAAACTGAAAAAGTTCAGTAAAAATGCACTACAGTTACGTGTAGGGCACATAAATGCAATAAAGAACCCATTTTTTTGTTAAAATATGAGGTTGCTACCCCACATGGCAAGCTCTAAAATTGTGTGCTCCCGTGAAATATCAACCAATGGGCTTCATATTATTGCCTTCATTATGGAATGTTTGGCGATATGTAACATATAGTGCAAATGACATGTTTGTGCATAGGCAGTCCTGACACTTGTGCTTGCATTTGTTTGGGAAGGCTCAAAAATGTTTGGGGGGAGGGGGGTATTTAAGTGCTTTTTACCTTGTGTGTAAAACTCCCCTGAATCCACTGACATACTACATATGTCAGCGGCAGTAAAAGGGTTAAGGGGAAGGTGACAGGTTAGAAACCAGTGATGCCTTCAGAGTCCAACAAGGGTTCCTTTTTGTAAGCAACCAGCCCCGGGCTCCAAACAAAGACCCACAGTTTCATAAGAGGAACTGGACCCCTAAGTCCTCTCGTTCTGGTTGCAAATACTCCCCTCAGTGCAGGGGCACGCGCCCACTAGCATGAGTGAGGGGACATCTACATGGCTACTTGGACTCAGGAGGTGTCCAGAGGCTACAAGCAGGAATTAAACTGCTTTCCCATTCCACGCTTTATGTACTCAATGGTATCTTCAGATTTCCCCCAAAAAAAGCAGTTTTCTTTGCGATTCTGGAAGAACGGTTGTTATAAGGGGTCATTGCACTGGTGGTGGCAATGGACAGGTCTCATGGCTTCTATTCCAACATGTTTGTGATTCCCAGAGACATCTGACCTACTCTGGACCTCAAAGGTCCCAACAAGTTCCTGAAGGTACAAAAATACAGGATGGAGACCACCTGGTTGGTGAATGCTGTGCTTTATTAAGGGAACTTCCTGTCATCAGTGGATATACAGGATGCCTACGTACATATCCTGATTTTTCAGCCTCACCAACGATTTCTGCATTTTGCAGTGGAGAATAACCACTATTGGTTTATTGCATTACCCTTTGGCCTGTCCACAGTCCCTAGGGTCTTTAGTGAGATTTTGGCTCTGATTCTGGGGTTGTTGAGAACCCAAGATGACTTCTAAGGGAGCAATCAGACCGAAAAACTGACATACAGGGGTTTATTTACTAAAGCTGGAGAGTCCAAAATCAGACTCCTTTCTGCATAGAAACCAATCAGCTTCTAACCTCAGCTTGTTCAATGAAGCTTTGGCAATGAAACCTGGAAGCTGATTGGTTTCTATGCAGAAGGGAGTCTGATTTTGGACTCTCCAGCTTTAGTAAATAAACCCCACAATGTCCAGCAGACAGCAGTCCTGCAGTGGTTTGGCTGGATACTGAATCTTCAGAATTTGGTTATGTTGGACTGGCTGCCAACTCTTCATGTTCAGTGCTTTGAGACATCCCAGGTAGTCATGAACATTTAGTCTGAGTCCTGTTACTGTATGTTCATTTAAGAAATTATGATTTTTTGATTTACCTGTAAAATACTTATTTTTAGAGTAAATCACAGGACACAGAGATCCCTTCTGTCTTGCTTGTGTTCCTCATTGCTTGCTACAAAACTAAGGCTTTTGACTGATGTGAAGAGATCTTCAGAGAGACCCAGGAAAGCATCCATCACTTTCAAACACTACCACAAAACTGATGCTTGGCTGAGCTGGACACCTGGGGTGGGGAGCTGACAGGAAAGTGAGCCTTCCATTTTCATGGAATTGATACTCTGAGTCTGTGTTGACATATTTTTTTATATATAGTTAAATATCTCATTTCAGATGTTAAAATATTGGATTTGTCAGAAAAGTGAAGTTTAAAATGAAAACATTTCTGTTTAAAAAGTTGGTATTTAATAATAAACACTACATAATATTCACCCACAGGACTCCTTTTGTTCAGGAGAATTTGCTTATCTACACAAAGCTTTTTCTTCGCTTCTTAAATCGGGCCATTCGTAGTGACCTGGTCAACCAAAAGAATGCTTTTATGCTCTTCCGAGTAGCCAAAGTCTTCTCTCAGCCTAATCTGGCAGAGATGATACAGAAGGGTAAGGAATCAGCTGTCCATGTTTTATTACAAGTTGTCTACATCTTGTAGTACCTACTTGTAACGTTTTAGCATTGAGACCCAGTAATGCTCTTCGTGTCTCTCTACAGGTGAACAATTGTTCCAGGAACCAGAACATGTTATTCCTCACCGCCAACACAGGCTCCTTATGTCCCCAAGTCTTGGTGGAAGCTTTCTTTCATCATGGCAGCCCTCAATCCTAGATACAGCTTTGAAGGTAAAAAGCCATGTGTACAGCTTGGAGGGACAGGATTTCCAATACACACAAATGTTTGGCACTGAAGCACGGAGTCTGGTAAGTGTAGTCCACAGGCCACCCAAATACAATTTTACTTGATATGAGGAGGCAACTAATTACTTTCACAAACAGCCATCCGGCACAAAGCACTCAACTACACTGGAATGGTGTAGCACCTTCTTTTTATTGCAAAACAAAAAGGATACTCAAAAGATTTTTATGATCGCTGGCCATGCATTACAGAAGGTTATAAAACTATGTAGGTTGTAAAATTATTTGTTCTGGTTACAGATTTCTGCACAGTGTTTAGGCAACATGCTGAGTGGAAAGAGTGTACAGCCATGCTATTGCTAGCTTGCAGTTTCACGTTCAAGTTTTTTTTTTTGTTTTTTTAATAGTCCTGCTGCAAAAGTTTTGAATAGATTGGGGAAGGATTAGAAACACTGTCTGGTTCTACAGATATTTTTAGGCTCTATTAGAAAGATTTTCCCTCAGCTACTCTTTCTGGTTACAGTAGTTTTACCAGACAGGAAGTAAGGGGAAAATACCCAACCAAAAAAATATTTTTTATTTGACTGAGAGGGAGGAAAGGTGGCAAATGTAAAATCTTAGTTACATAGTAAGTCTGGCTGAAAAAAGTCAAAAGTTTGTCTAGTTCAACCATAAAAAAAAAAAAAAAAAAAGATACCCACAGTTGAACCAGAGGAAGGCAAAAAAAACCCAGCAAAGCATGATCAAATTTGCTCCTGCAGGGGAAAGAATTCCTTCCTGATCTCCTTAGAGGCAATCGGATATTCCCTGGATCAACTTTACCTATAAATGTTAGTATCCAGTTATATTCTGTGTACCTAGAAAAGAATTCAGGCCTTTTTTAAAGCAATCTACTGAGCTGGCCAGAACGAACTCTTGTGGGAAACTGTTCCACATTTTCACAGCTCTTACTGTGAAGAAACCTTTCCGTGTTTGGAGATTATATCTCTTTTCCTCCAGACGTAAAGAATGCCCCCTTGTCCTCTGTGATGACCTCAGGGTGAATAACTCTACACCGAGTTCACTATATGAACCACTGATGTATTTATACATGTTGATCATATCCCCCCTTAATCTCCTCTTCTCAAGAGACAATAAATTCAATTCCTTTATCTTTCCTCATAGCTGAGCTCCTCCATGCCTCGTAACAGTTTGGTTGCCCTTCTCTGTACTTTCTCCAGTTCCCCAATATTCTTTCTGTGAATTGGTGCCCAAAACTGAACTGCATATTCCAGATGAGGTCTTACTAATGATTTGTACAGGGGTAATATGATATCTCTCTGGAGTCTATACCTCTTTAATACAAGATAGGATTTTGCTCAGAAACTTGGCATTGCATGCCATTATTAAGCTTGTGATCTACCAGAACCCCCAGAACTTCTCCACCATTGATTCCCCCAGTTGTACCCCCCCCAGTATGTATGTATGTATGCATATTCTTAGCCCCCAAGTGCAGAAACCTTACATTTATCAACATTAAACCTCATTTGCCACATAGTTGCCCAATTAAACAGTGCATTGAGGTTGGCTTGTAAGTTGGAGACATCCTGTAAGGACATTATTCCACTGCACAGCTTGGTGTCATCTGCAAAGACTGAAATAGGGATTTTTAATCTCAGACTCTATATCGTTTATAAATATATTAAAAAGTAAGGGTCCCAAACACTGAACCTTGGGGTACACCACTGAACCCTAGACATTTCAGAGTATGAATCATTAACCACTACTCTCTGAAGTCGGTCTTTTAGCCAGTTTTTTATCCATTTACATACAGATTTTTCCAAGGTTGTAGACTTTACCTTACACATTACGCTTGTGTGGAACGGTTTTAAATGCTTTTTAAAAGGGCTTGTGACATGAGTAGTTGTAATTTTTGGATTTGTTTATTATTCAGCACCTATTACTCTTTTTGGATCTGCTAGACCAAAAAATAGCTGTTTTCCACGATTCAGTGCCCCCCGTCCCACTTATATTTTAACATATTAGTTACTGATAAGTTCCTGATGCTTTTTATAAATTGTCAATTGATCCTTATTTGTTTACATTTAGTTTCCTTTTAATTCCAGGGTTTAACAAATTCACCCCATATGGATATGTTTGCAGAGATGTTTTGATCAGCTATGGTATACTTGTCTGTTATTCCATTGTATAGGTTTTACGGCTCGCCCAGATGATCATACAGGCCAAGCAAACTGCCAGGTCCCTCTCTGATCAGTCCCCAGATGCTTCAGGCAACCAGTCATTCTTTTCCTGGTTTGGAATGAGTCCTACCGATCTGAACAACACATATCCAGGCAATGACATTGATGAGGTTGGGTATGACAGCATTAAGAAGACTGACGAACATTTGGAAAAAGCCCTAGAATTTCTTTGTCTTATTTTTAGGGTAAGTTACATGCACAAAAGGCTGTAAATCCCGTTTGTCACTTACCCCCATGTGTGTGTGTGTTATCATAAATACATATGATTAGATTGTATGGTTCCTATTACAAGCAAGATCAAGGCTGAGCAGAACAGAGCTTTAACTGCTTCCCTCCCGGCATCTGCACATAAAAGGCTGGGTGGGAGCTTTCCCATTCTGAGAGACTGTCCCTGAACGTCTTCTCAGAACATGCGCCTCGTATGGCCTGTGATGGCTGTATCCTTCGGATGTTGCAAGGCTGTGACCGCTCTCTGCATAGCTGATGATTTTAGTGTTCAGCTATGCAAAGAACACACAGATTGCTGCCATCACCACACAGTACATTAAGCACCATCATCTGTCCCTGTCCCAAGTGTCACATCAACATATGTCACAGTATACCAGTGTCACATTAACATATGTCACAGTATACCAGTGTCACATCAATATCTCTATCACAGTGTACCGATGCACAAAGCAGCTGCAATGGTGTTCCAATCCCAACATCAACATCTGTCGGTGTCCGCTAGTGGGTGATCAACATCTGTCACAATGTACAAATACACACAAACATCTGTCAGTGTACCAGTATCTCACCAATAAATAAATGTAAAGAGCCCATATGTAGACTGTGTTCGCACCACACATGTGAGGTATTGCCGTGAACGTTCGAGCAAAAGCAATAATTCTAGCACCAGACGTCCTCTGTAACTCTAAACTGGTAACCTGTAAAGGCTTATAAAATGTTTGGCGCCATTTCACAAGCATGCGCAATTTTAAACCGTGGCATGTTTGGTATCTATTTACTTGGTGCAACACCATATTTTATATTTTCCAAAAAAATTGGTATTATATTGTGTTTGTATTAAAATATATTAAAGTGTATTTTTGCAATAGTGTTTAAAATTGCATTAGAAAAACTGCTGCGTAAATACTATGTGACATGGAAATTTGCAAAACCCACTGCCTCTGCTCAAAAATATGTAATATCTGGGGTTTCTATGTTCTAGCAAATATACAGATTTTTACTTGTAAACAAATTGTCAGAAGGCATCCTGTTCTTAAAGTGGATAACGCCTTAAGCTTCTCCTTGGATGTTGGGCCTCTTTATGTGGCTAGGCTGTAAAAAAAAGTTTCACTCATGGGGTATCATCCTACTCAGGATTAGCAGAATGTGTTTTTGGGTGTAGTGGGGCAAGTAGGCCTATGCTAAGTAACTTATAACTTTTTTGCGGGGAAAAAAAAACTAATTTTATTTAATTTCTTCATTTTCCAAAGAATTGTGGAAAAAAAAATGACAACTTCAAGAAACTCACCATGCCTCTTACTAAATACCTTGGACTGTCTACTTACCAAAAAGGGGTCTTTTGAGAGTGATTTGTGCTGTCCTGGCATGTTAGGGCCTCAAGAAGTGAGAGAGGCCATCAGTAGTTTGTGGACTCTTTAATTTTCCTACAGACTAAATAATACACTGGTTTGGGTTATTTTTCACCAAGGAAATGTAGCAGAATACATTTTGGCCTAAATTTATGAAGAAAGATTATTTTTTTGCAAACTTTAACAGAAATGAACAAAAACACATTTTTTTTTCAAAATGTTTTCGTTTACTTACCACAAATAAAAAACCCAGTGGTGTTTAAATACCACCAAAATCTATTTTTTTTTATCGGTTTTCAATGATTGGTACCATAGCTTTTGTACTCTATAACATTCTTACAGACTAAATAATATACGCTGATTTGGGTTATTTCTACCAAGTAAATGTAGCAGTATAAATTTTGATTAAAATTATGAAGAAAAATTACTTATTTGCTAAATTTTATAACAGAAACTAAGAAAAACACTTTTTTTTTTTTTTTTCCACATTTGAGGTCTTTTCCCGTTTTATAGCGGAAAAAAGTAACAAAAACTCAGTGGTGATTAAATACCACCAAAAGAAAGCTCTATCTGTCTCAAAAAAATAAGTTTCATATGGGTACAGTGTTGCATTATTGAATAATTATCATTCAAAGTGCAACAGCCCTGAAAGCTGAAAATTGGCCTGGGCAGGAAGGGGGTGAAAGTGCCCAGTATGAGGTGGTTAAAGCAAACCTCCACTACCATCAAAAAGGAACTGCAGCAAGTGTCATCAAAAAAAAACTGTGGAAAGTAAATCTAATATGGTGGACGTTTTTGCTGTCCATGTCACGATACAGCTGTCCTAAAATCGCACTTTATTTGCAGGAGTACTATTAGCAGGATATCAAACCCTGGGTTTTATTTAACTGCTTCCGCGCCACTATATAGCAGAAATACTGCTACAGGGCAGCACGGGTGCGCAAAATCACGTGTGTACATATACGTGATGATTTCGCAGTTTCGGGTAGGGGGCAAGTGTGCACCCTACCTGCGCAGCCATTCGCGGCCTCAGCTGTCAATCATGTGGTTTCTGGCTGGCACCCTGTGATCGCCGAGTATCTCTGGGGGAGAGATTTCTCCCGTCAGCTCCTGCACACTACTTTGTATTACTGGACATGTTTAATAGCAAAAAGTTTATAGCACAAAAAATAAAAACCACACAGGCAATCAAATACCACCGAAAGAAAGCTCTATTTGTGGGGAAAAAAGGAATTTTTTAATTTTGGGTGCAGCGTTGCATGACCGCGCAATTGTTAAAATAACGCAGCGCCGTATCGCAAAAAAATGGCCTTGTCAGGAAGGGGGGTAAATCCTCTGGAGGGCAAGTGGTTAAGTGAAAGTAATCTGTAGTGTTGCAGTGACCATTTTGAATTCCGATACTGCATAGGACCCAGAAGCAGTGAGGTAATTATACACATATACTGACAGCAGGTTTTTTTTTTTTTTGTTTTTTTGTTTGTTGTTTTTTTTTTTTTTTTAATGGGAATTCGATCACAAAAAGGATAAGCACATAGTGTATTACATTCACCTATGTACTGCTAGCTGTTTTCTGAGCATAATTCTTGCATTTCACAGAGATTTTTCCTACAGAATCCGTTTTTTGTAATTTTGATGTTGTTTGGAATGACCTTTGCTTTCTAGTCTGTAACCAGCCATGATTTGCTAATACTACCAGCGAATTCAGATGTCCCTTTCGTACGACCTTGGGAACACTAGGAATGTTGTGTACAAGCTGACCCCAAACTTTTATTTCCTAATCATGTTACTAGCACTTCATTTTCCAGCTCCCACTCTGTGTAAGCAAGTTTATTTTTGCAATAATGCTCGGAACTAAATGAGGTACAAATCTGCAGTCTGGTTTGCTAAAGTTTTTGCTTTTTAATAATGCATTGTCAGTCTGAAGTTTATAAATTTCATAAAATATTTCTAAATTGCCAGATTATATGTTCTACCAAATACAGTATTTTAAATTTTGCACTTCTCCAAATTATTATGCCTGTTTTTTTAGATGAATTCAGCTCAACTCAGCCAGTTCACAGTAAAATTGGGAAATGTGAAGGATGAGAATGGGAGAAACCAACTTCCGGACTGTGTACAAACTGACAATGGTGTGCTCCTTACTGACTTGGGCAGAAAACAGGTAAGCCTGACTTCATTACCTTTTTAGTATGTAAGCACCCCATCTCTAAAAATGTCTGTTTTATTGCATAGAGGGAGTTTTCTCACTGCAGGAGCAGAAATAATACCCTAGGATGTGTGGACTGCTGGCTGGTGTTGCGCTGGCACATGTGTGAAATTAGCCTATGGCACAGCTTCTGTTCTGCCCACCACTATGTCATGTGCAATCATAGTGGAAGGTGGACAGCTGAGCTATAGAGCTATGCATGGCTTCTTTTTCCCCTTCACACATGAAGTTGCTTAACTCCTTGGCGCCGGTGCCTCCCGGCCCTTTTTAGGGTTTCAAAAGCCTTGAGGTGGGGTTTTAGGGTCATGTGATCGCCGTGATTCGCTGTCACGGCAGTCACATGATCGGGAAAGGTCCCGATCACAAGAGGAGATCTGAACCTTTCCATGAGTACCGGACATGTGTGCTGGGAGTGTGCAGGGAGCACGCTCTCAGCACATGTTTTTCTTAATTGCACGCAAATGTGCGGCCACTTGGCATCAAAGCCCAGACGCCGGGAGGCCGCACATATGCGTCCGGCCAGCGCTAAGAGGTTAAAAAACAATGGTGCCCATTTCTTATTACAGAGTAGTTATTTGTACACTTTTTTTTAGGGTTTAGTTGTACTTCAGGGATTTTCCTTTTTACTATTTATCCAAAATATTTCTGCTATACATGAGAGTTTAGTTTTTTATGGAACATGTAGACAAAGTGATATCCCTGTGCTTGAGCGAGCTTCCAGATCTGAACACTCGCTACTGTAATAACAGTGAGGTCCCATTCTTTTTGTCATATTTTTTTTACCTCTTGTGTTATGATGCATGTAGCAGAAAAAGTGAGCACACAGCTGTTGTAGCTGGAAAGGTGAGATTCCAAAAAAGACTCACACAGGGCTGGGAGGTATGGCAGTGGGACCTTACTGATGGAGTTCCCTTGAGATGTAAGCAGCTGGGTCATATCAGGCTGCACCTGTAATTGACATTACTTTTGAATACACTAATAATAAATGCAAAAGTTTTAATATGAATAATTGGGACGCTCTTATGAAGATCTGTATTCGAGTTTTTGACATTTTATTTGATTTCTGCTGTAAAGTTCGTCTTTTACCCATCAAATAATGTTATTTTTCTTAGATTTTTGTTTTCAGTTTTTTATCAGCATTTGGTTTTATTAACATTCATTTTTATTATAACTTCAGATAATAAATGGATTGCGCAAGTTTGACATACAGTACCAGGGAGACCCTGAACTTCAACCAATCCGCAGCTATGAAAATGCTACTCTAGTGCGTCTACTATACCAACTATCCCAGGCTTTAAATTCTAGGGTAAGGTGCTCAGTGTTAACATCAACAAGAGTGTGATCTTTTTATTTGTCCCGCTTGTCTTTTTTAGAAGTATGCTTTATTTGACATCACAGCTTCACCGTTTGTTAAAAAAAAAAAAAAAAAAATGTAATATTTGTTTCTTGCTTTTCATAATTACATTTGTGAAATGTACATAAAACTATTCATATTGATGCCTGCTGCTGAAAACTTGCTGTTAATCTGAGTGCGACAGACATAAAAACACACACATTCTATACTTTTGACTGTCTGATTTTGTGAGAGATCCTATTCAAATTAAGGCAAAACATCCAAGGATACTGCAAGAATTTTTTGTTTTCTACATCTTTTTTTAAATTGATTTTTACGTTGAAGATGCCAGCTGAGGACTGGCACACTGCTAACCTGATTATTGCATTCTTAGTTTGTGCAGGTAGGGGAAGTCTGGTTTGGATATCACTGAATGGGTAGCTTTGATCTGCAAGGCACTGGGGTGGTGCAGTCGTATGTTTCTTCTAGACGTCATAGTCCCTTTTCCCACACTTCTTCTGTTTCTCTGACAGATGTAAGTGGCAGAATAGGCAGTTACTGCTCTGATTTCCAGCCCAAGCAGAGATGTAAAATCATAAACATCAGGAAAGCTGCAAGTGTGTATGTGCGATGGTGTTCTCTGTCTGACTTTTTAATGACATCCAACAAAAAACAGAGTACAGTTCTTCAGACAGTGTACACATATCATGTGACACAAAGAAGGGGAGAGTTTGAAACTCTGTGCGATAGGAAAGATCACGAATTGTGGTATGGACATGCATTCAACTAGTCTTCTCATGTCTACAATAATTAAAACATGTTCTACTTGAAAATAACTTGCAGAGGTTGGAGTTTTTGTAATGTAACCAGCTCGCCAATGTTTTATAATGTGTCAAAGTCAGCCCTTTTGAGAATCGTAATCTATTCATCAAATGCAAATGTCTCTTATCTAATTCTCAACATCCGTTCTGCTACTGGTTATGGTTTTATTATTTTCTACGATATATGTACAGAGGGTATAGAAATGAATCACCCCCTTTAAAATAATTTTGTTGCTTTGCAGCCTGAAATGAAGACAGACCGTTTTTGTTTTATCCAGCTGTATTTACTCAGAGCAACTTATAACATCCAAGTGAAAGCTATAACACCAAAATGTCAAATGTTTTTTTTTTTTTTAAAAATCAAAAACCGAATCATTGAGTTGGCAAAAGATCACCCCCCAAAAAAATTTACCGCAATCAGGTCTAGCTAATCACCTTCTCAATAGCACAGAAAGCCATTTGACTTTCAACTGTGATCACCTGTAGTCATTTTGATTAGGTCAGCATGAAAAGAGCTTTCCCGGAGCATTTCAGTCCCTTGTAGTGCAAATGAAGCAAACCGTTAACTATGGGTGGCAAGGCACTGTGAAAATATCTCCAGGATAAGGTTGTGGACAGGAACAAGTCAGGAGATGGATAAAAAAAATTCAAAGGCTTTATCAATGCCTAAAAGCACAGTGAAATCTATTATTAAGAAGTGGAAGGTATTTTGGTACAACATAGACTCTCACTGGATCAGGACGTCGCTCCAAACTGGATGAAAGAGCCAGGAGGAATCTGGTTAGAGAGGCTACCAAAAGGCCTACAGCAACTCTGAAGCAGTTACAGGAATTCATAGCAAAGAGTGGTCATTGTGTGCATGTGACAACAATATCACAATTTCGCCACCAATGTGGATTGTATGGATGGGGGGGGGGGGCGGGGGGGTGCAAGAAAAAAGCCACTGCTTAAGAAAAGCCACATGCAGTCACGACTGAACTTTGCCAAAACGCACATTAAAGATTCTGAGGCCACATGGAAAAAGGTGTTCTGGTCAGATGAGACTAAAATGGAATTATTTGGCCTCAACACTAAACAATATGTCTGGCATAACACCATTCCTACAGTAAAGCATGGAGGTGGTAATATCCTGTTATGGGGGTGTTTCTCTGCAGCTGGGACTGGAACACTTGTCAGGCTAGAAGGAAAAATGGATGGGGCAAAATGCTGTCAAATTCTTGAGGAAAATCTGCTGTCCTCTGCCAGAAAGTTGTCAATGGGAAGGTTTACCTTCCAACATGACAATGACCCAAAGCACACAGCGAAAATGACCGCACATTGGTTAAAGGAGAAAAAAGGTGAATGTCCATGCATGGCCTAGTCAGAGCCCAGACTTAAATCCCATTGAAAATCTGTGGAATTAACAGACAGTCGCCATCAAATTTAACTGAACTTGAGCAGTTCTGCAAAGAAGAGTGGGCAGATATTGCAAATTCTAGATCTAGATTGGTAGAGACATATCTCAGCAGACTAAAGGCTGTAATTGAAGCAAATGTGGTTTTACAAAATACTGACACAAGGGGTGTGATCTTTTTTCCAACTTATTGATTCCTTTTTTGATTTTTTTTTTTTTTTTTCCTGACATGTTGGTGTTATATCTTTCACTTGGATGTTATAAGTTGCATTGAGTAAATACAGCTGGATAAAACAAAAACTGTGCCTGAATTTCAGGCTGCAAAGCAACAAAATGTAATTATTTTAAAGGGGGTGATTCTTTTCTATACCCACTGCATATTTTTTTTTTTTTTTTTTTTTTTTGTGTATGCAGTACTGTGAAAACATTTTAGGCAGTTGTAAAAAATGGTGTAAATTTAAAAATACTTTCAGAAATAGAAGGTTTAATAGTTTATAAATTAAGAAAGTAAATGAACGTAAGAGAAATCCAAATCAAAGCAACATTTGATGTGATCACCCCTTGCCTTCAAAACAGCATCATTTCTTCTAGGTACACTTGCACTCATGTAGGTAGGTTGTTTCAGACACCTTGGAGAACTAACAACACATCTGCTGTGGATGTAGGCTGCCTCAAATCCTTTTGTTTCTCCTTGTAATCCCAGACAGAATTGATAATGTTTAGAGCAGAGTGCTGTGGGAGCCAAACCATCACTTCCAGGACTCCTTGTTCTTCTTTACGCTGAAGATAGGACTTAAAGAAACTTGGCTGTGTTTTTTTTGGGATCATTGTCCTGCTGCAGAATAAATTTGGAGCCAATCACAGGTCACCCTGATGGTATGGCATTATGGTTATATGTATCTGCCTGTATTTCTCAGCATTGAGGACAATGTTGATCCTGACCAAATCTCCGTTTGCAGAAATGCAGCCCCACACTTGCATAGAAATTCCACCATGCTTCACTGTTGCCTGTAGACACATTTATTGTACTGCTTTCCAGCCCTTCAGTGAACAAATTGCCTCCTGCTGCAACCAAATATTTCAAATTTAGACTCCTCAGTCCAGAGCACCTGCTGCCATTTTTTTTGCACCCCAGTTCCTATGTTTTCATGCATAGTTGAGTTGCTTAGCCTTGTTTCCATGTTGGAGGTATGGCTTTTAGACCGCAATGCATCCATGAAGACCATTTCTGGCAAGACGTTTTTTACAGACAGTAGATGGGTGAATCTGGGTCCCACTTGTTTCCGCCAGTTCTGTGTTGATGGCACTGCTGGACATCATCTTATGTTGAAGGGAAGTAAGCATGATGTGTCTTTCAACTCCTGCATTAGGTTCCCTTGGATGACCACTTCATCTACGGTCCTCAATGTTGCCCATTCTTTGCGTTTCTTCAAAAGCGCTTGATGAATTAAATTGATGCTGGTTCGAAGCCAAAGGGTAGCAACACAAAATATTGATTTAGATTCTTCTTATATATACGTATACACACACACATTGTATATTTACTTTTCAGGAAAGGGGGGGGGGGGTTGGTTTTATTTGTCTTTTTTGTGGGGGGTTGGATCCAGCAGAACCAGAGCAGCAGGTCTGACAGGGCTACTGCTCTATGAAGATGAGAGACCGCTGTAACGGCTCTGCCTGAGCCTCTGTATGACAGGATTTGATGTCACATCCCATTCAATGTAAACAAAACACAAAAATGTTGTGTTTACTGTTGTTTCAACAGATTGCTCTTATGGAGTTTCAGCTCCTGGGCTTAGTGCTGAACTCCAGCTGTCACTGACCGCTGGTAATTCCAGTCCTGATGCCAAGGTGTGCTCACAGGAGCCACTGTTTTATATACAGCACTGACAGAAATGGGGGTAAGCGCATTGGCTCTTGGTGTCAACAAGCTAGTAGTTTATAATTACTCTGATATGTTGGTAATGATAAAATATGAGTTTGACAACCATCAATCCAAAATCATTCTTCTGAGTACAGTGGAGTGTTTTGATGTGCTGCTGCTAGGAGCAGTTCACACAGTAAAGAGATGCCATTGGAGGGTCCTGATTTGAGCAAATACTTTTTCTAATGGACTAAAGGAACCCAAGTGTCATAGTGAATTTGGAGTCTCTTGACATGACTAGAGTTGAAATCGAGTCCAAAAGTCCATGGGTGTTTTCAGTAAATTTCTGATTTTATATTGTAAGCCTTTTTAATGTTGGGGACATTTAATTGAACTACCGTATTTGCCGGCGTATAAGACGACCCCCTACTTTTCCTGTTAAAATATAGGGTTTGGGCTATACTCGCCGTATAAGACTACCCCTCTTCCAACACACACCAAAAATTAAAAAACATCAGATTTGATTTCAATATGGTATGGTATTCCAATGATGGGGCACGCTTCCTCCCACTGACACCAATGATGGGGCACGCTTCCTCCCACTGACACCAATGATGGGGCACTATTCCTCCCACTGACACCAATGATGGGGCACTATTCCTCCCACTGACACCAATGATGGGGCACTATTCCTCCCATTGACACCAATGATGGTGCCCCATCATTAGTGTCAGTGTGTGAGGAATAGTGTCCCATCTTTAGTGTCAGTGGGAGGAATAGTGCCCCATCATTGGTGTCCGTGGGAGGAATAGTGCCCCATCATTGGTGTCAGTGGGAGGAATAGTGTCCCATCATTGGTGTCCGTGGGTGCCCATCAGTCAGTGGGAGGAATGTGCCCCATCATTGGTGTCAGTAGTGCCCCATCATTGGTGTCAGTGGGAGGAATAGTGCCCCATCATTGGTGTCAGTGGGAGGAATAGTGCCCCATCATTGGTGTCAGTGGGAGGAATAGTGCCCCCTCATTTGTGTCAGAGCAACGAATCGTGCCCCATCATTGGTGTCAGTGGGAGGAATAGCACCCCATCATTGATATCAGTGGGAAGAATCGTGCCCCATCATTGGTGTCAGTGGGAGGAATAGCGCCCCATCATTGGTGTCAGTGGGAGGAATAGCGCCCCATCATTGGTGTCAGTGGGAGGAATAGCGTCCCAACATTGGTGTCAGTGGGAGGAATAGTACTCCGTCAGTGGGGGGAGGAATAGTGCCCCAACATTGGTGTCAGTGGGGGGAGGAATAGTGCCCCATCATTGGTGTCAGTGGGAGGAATAGTGTTCCATCATTGGTGTCAGTGGGAGGAATAATGCCCCATCATTAGTATCAGTGACACCAATGATGGGGCACTATTCCTCCCACTGACACCAATGACACTTGCTGACTCCTGTTCTAGTATGGTACTGCTGCAGCCAGCATATGTGGTGGTTGCAGCAGCACCTCTGCACTGCACACTTACCCTCACTCGATTTTCGTGGGTCCGCTCGGCTCCGCCTCCTCGCCCGTGATTGGCCACCTGTGTGCCTTTCCTGAGCTACAGTTCTGGCGGCCAATCACCGGTGAGGAGGCGGAGCCGAGCGGCAGGAGTGAGGGAGTGGCCGGAGTGACTGAAGGAGCAGCGCTTCCTGGATGGATCGTCGTGGGAGCCAGGTAAGAGACTGCAGCCCTCTGCCCACCCCTGTACTTGGTGTCCCTTCCGTCGGAAGGGGGGGACGGCGGCAGCACCGCGCCGCCCCCCTAAAAAGTGCCACCTGACGTGTACCGGCGTATAAGACGACCCCCGACTTTTGAGAAGATTTTCAAGGGTCAAAAAGTCGTCTTTATACACCAGCAAATACGGTACTTTGTTTATATATTGTGCTAATCAGAAAACTGCACCCTGTTTAATTACTGTTACTTACAGTATTATTTTATTATTAGTAGTATTTTTGTGTATGTTTGTTATTTATTGTAAATGACTAGCATATAGTTTACCATTTGTATCCCTTCCAGTTTGCAGACTCCATGGATGCTATGTGTAAAAGGGAGGACTTCCTGGGAAAGTTTTGCTGTTATCATTTAATCAACAACCCCTCTGCACGGAGAATGAGCCCTGTGCCATCACATAGTGCTTTTCATCAGACAGAGCCCCGCATACGTCTCCGATTCCTTGCCAGCTATCGTGTTCTGTTCTATTTGTTCCTCTTTTATGTTTTATGTGGCCTGATATCTGTGGGACCAGTAGCTGCAACGTTCTTACTTCTGATTGGCTATCTTATCTTTGCTGTGGCAATGACTGTGTTTACTGATAAGTGGAAACCACATCAGGACTGATATGGACTTTTTTATGCTGTGGATACTGTGTATATTTTAATATATAATAACCAAGTCTTCTCTAGAGTGTCTGAATTAAAATGTATTCTGTACAGTGTTTTGTTCCCTTGTTTGTAATATATGTTCTCTTAACAGGTAGTGTGTGTTTTTATTTAATATTTTGAGCCACATCAACTCACTAAACAGTCTGGGAGAAGCATAAATATGCTTGTGGACCTGAAATTAAAACTTGCCTTCTTTACAATCCATCAAAGGAGACAGGAAGTCCTAGCTTTAAATATACTGCCACCTACAGTAGCATTGGACACTGGCACACCGAAAAACTGTAGGTCAGCCAAGGATAACCCCTTCTACTACCAGCATTCCTTTGTTCGGACAGTGTCCTAAAAGGATACACATCTTTTGTCTAGCTGTGCTTGAAAAAAACTAACAAATGTATTGCTAGTCTGGAAATGACCCTTGGGCATTGGGTTTTATGTAAAGTAAATTATAGACCCTGTTTTAGGAACAAGTTATCCACAGAACACTTCGAGAGCCATTGCCATTGTGAGTAGGACAGTTGGGCTAAGCAGCAGGAGCTACCATATTAGTTGTATCACTGTACACCTTTACACTTTTTTCAGTAGGAACCAGCAAAAAGCAGAAATTTTAAACACCAAGGCATCTGACGTCTTGCCTTATACTCTGAGGTATGTTGTTTCACCATTGTGGTTGCAACATGTCTGATTCTAGGCATGGGTGAAAGTGCTGCTGTCAGAGCTCACTCTTTTACTAATGGCTTAGGAGCTGCTTGCACTGTGCCATTTTTTTAAGTCTTCCATATCTCCATCAGGCATGGACTCCTCCTTTTGCCTTTTCTATGGAGTTTTTTTCAATAGTCTTGCAGATTACACAGTTGTTTGACTCTGAACACAGAGGCCACAAGCGTTCTCTCACACCTATCCCCAGAGTTTGTATTTGTATTTGATGTGGCTGAGGCCTCTGAGCATGCAGATCTTGCCTCCGAGGAGTTGGTCTTCTGCCATTACTCCCAAACTGGCTGTGTTGACACACCACTTTGAAGCTTGAGTATCAGCCTGTTGCTGCTACCAGTGCTATTCTCAGTCTTGGGTCCTTTAGAGCTCCTAAGACTACCAAGAACATTTGCCATGCACCAGGTGTTCCTCCCAAGCACTTTGTAGCCTTGTATCTGTTGGAAGAGGATTTTGGTAAGTGGTCTGCCCCCACTATGGATCTGGTAGTGTTGTACCTTCACAAAGTGACCACCATTGCGATGGAGGATGCACCGATCTTCAAGGACCCCACAAATAAGTGACTGGAGGCCTTTTTAGAGCTCTCTTCTCACTGGCAGGCCTCACTATTCATCTTGTTCTAGTCATGTCCTTTGTTTGCTTGACTCAGGTCACCATTTTCAGTCAATTCCCTTGTCATAGAACATTTGGAGCAAATGGCTGTAGCAGTAGGCTGTATCAGTGATTGGCTACTGGAGGTTCCAATCTTATTTTCCGCATGATTCTCCTGTCAGTCCACATGTACTTTGTTTAAAGTGTTGGAGTGCAGAACCTGCATCCAAGAGGCACCTACTCTGAGAAATGTTTCTTTGGGTCTGCTCTGGATGCCATTATCAAGGATGCCACAGGTGGCAAGAACACTCACCCTTTGTCAGTCAAAGAACCTCAAGGTGCAGTCTAAGGCAGTATTTTTCAACCTTTTTCAGTCAAGGCACCTTTTAAAATTATGCCCAATCTCAAGGCACCTCATTTTAAAACATAAAAAACTAAACTAATAGTTTTACATAAAACAGCAACATCCACACATAGGACACCCAGTTTTAGAGGTGATTTATTCTTCTAAAGCAAATACACCTTTGCACACTGGTACTGACTAAGATGGGGGCAAACACAAATGCTGTGCAGGTGCCCGATGTCCTTACCAAGCACCGACATTGGTTGTTGGGATGCTGGCGGCTGGAAGGCTGTAATGGTGCACAATGAAAACCTTTTAAGTAAAAGGCGGGATTTTTCCATACACCGGCATGTATACAGTGTTTGGGAAATTTTTAGACATTGTGTTAAGACACCTCTGAAGAAACTTGAAGGCACCCCAGTTGAAAAAGGCTGGTCTATGGATCTCCCCGCTGGAGGTTTTGAAGTCTTTCATTATTCCATGACTACAAAGTCAAACCTTACTCCAAAGCACCCTGTAAATTATGCTGCTTGAACATCACCTGGTAAAATCTAAACATTTGGACATAGAACCAGGTGCCAGTCTTGCACATCTGGAAAACAGGTGTCGAATACGGCAAGGTTTAAGAGACACTAACTGATCCAGTAGAGTGTACCTTCACAGGGAAGGGAAGTACCCTATCCCAAAAGTGTAGGTTTAGATAATTTGTCTAATCCACCTGGCCATGCTGGAGTCCCCTGTGGGAACTGAGAGGTGAAGTTGCACAGCACACCACACTACACCACATCCAAACAGTGATGGGATGCCTCTGCACAGTAAAGACAGTGCCCTGGTTGAAGTGGAAGAGACCAACTTGGACAGAAAGGATTGAGGCTTAAAGACAACCTTTTCCTTTAGAAAGGATTTTTCACATAAGACTTCTCACTCAGAAACCTACCTGGCACATGTGATGGCAATAAGGAAGGCATCTTTGTGAGTGAAAAGGCCTCTGGAAGGCCAGCATAACTAGGTTGAGATCCTACAGCATTATAGTGGAGCTATGCAAAACACCAACTGCACAAAGGTCCTTAGCAAGGAGTAAGAGTCAAGTGGCCTCAAAAAGAGGTTTGCCAAGTTTGATTTGCCCCTTGACAGTACTTAAGGTCAAACACTGATCCAGATCTCACTGGAGAAGGGATTCTCACAACGTACCATCTAGGATGCAATCTCTTTTCTTTGCACCTAGCAAAACAAGTCTTCCAGGTGCGATGATAAACCTTGTGAAAAGTCAATTTTCTAGCTTTCCAAGGCATAATCTAAATCCAAAAAGGCCTTATTCTTCTGGACCTAGGCTTCAACAGCCAGGCTGTCAAAGTCTGAGAAACTGTATAGTGGACTAGTCCCTGAGACAAAAGTTCTGGAAGTGACCACAGAGTGTGCCAAGATTCCAAGTACCACTTTCTCCTGAGCCAGTTTGTGTGTATTAAGGAGGTCCAGAAATACCCTGGTGTAGAAACCATTCTGCTGAATCCAGACATTGATGACTGAGGAAGTCCACTTATCAATTTTCTAGGCCCAGGATGCGCATGGTGGTTAGGATTGTAAAATGAAGTTCTACCACAGCAGGAATCCTATTGGCCTCTCTTTGAGCTGTGCAACTTCTGATGCCTCCCTGATGATTTATGTAGGCCGTGGCCATAGCATTGTCCAACTTGACTCCATAATGTTGATGGGAAGTTGAGATTTCCTTAATGACAAAGTCCCCTGAACTGTAACTGTCTCTAAGTACTCTTTCTCCCCCTCCCCCAGCTCAACAGGCTGGCATCCATTATGAGCATTTTATCATCCAGACATAGTCCAGCAGCAGACTGGAACTCCAAACTGAAAGGGTTAATTGGTAACATGCTCTGTCCTCCTTTCCCCATTTGCTTCAGGATCCTGGGAATAATGCAAGTGACACACAGGTATTGTTCAAGCAATTATTCAGTCTTTACTACAGTGCAATTGTTCTTTAATACAAAAACATGAAAAAGAGGTGGACCATCAAAGTAACCAATCACTATCTAACACAAAACAAAATATTTATACGTAAATGAGGGAATACTGCATCAGCAGCTGTACCATACAAAAGCCATTTCCGTTTACACATAAATGAGAGGTAATTACTGAGAAAACTAAACTAACTGCTACAAACTTGCACAAGAGATGAGAAATTCGAAACTTAACTATTACATTTCCACATGAAATGGAGACCACATAACAAAAAGAATACATTATATGTACATATTTTTCCTTCACACCAGGCAGAATCTGATTATAATCTACATGCATGGTTCAGAGACTGATTCTGCTTATCCCATGCAACCAGAATGCCAAGTTGCAATGGCCTAGAGTGAAACCTGGAATATGGCACCACCTCACCCTCAGAAGTGAATGCAGGATTAAAGTGTTTGCACATAAGTGAAGGGACAGAGTACTTGCCATGTCCAAGACAAAGCCCAGGTACTCCAAGGGATGAGCTGGATCCAATGCAGACTTCTGAAAGTTGAGTCTACCTGAATCTCAGAAGAATCTGCTGGACATTGGATCATTCAGGAACCTCACAATGTGGACAGGCCAGGTGGAAGAGCATAAATTAAATGCCACTCGCCCCAAAACAACACATTGATGTGGAGGGAAGATGAGGATGCGCAAGTAAGCATCCATTATGTTAAGTCCCCTTGCCAAAGTAAGGATACAACAAACCTGGAACTACACCATAATACTGTATGTAGTTGAGACTACATACAGTGCTGAGAGCCCCTGCATCTCTTAGTGAAGTACAGTGCCTTGAAACATTATTTATATCCCTTGAAATTTTCCACATTTTATCTTGTTACAACCGAAAACTTAAATGTATTTTATTGGGATTTTATGTGATAGACCAATACAATGTGGCACATAATTGTGAAGTGGAAGGAAAATGATTAATGGTTTTCAAAATTTTGTACAAATATGTGAAAAGTGTGGCATGCATTTTTATTCAGCCTGAGTCAATCCTTTCTAGAACCACCTTTCACTGCAATTACAGCTACAAGTCGTTTTGGGTATGTCTCTACCAGCTTTGCCTATTCTTTGCAAAATAGCTCAAGCTCTGTCAGATTGGATGGAGAGCAACTGTGAACAGCAATTTTCAAGTCTTGCACAGATTCTCAATTGGATTTAGGTCTGGAATTTGAATGGGCCATTCTAATACATGAATATGCTTTGATCTAAACCAGGCATGTCCAAAGTCCGGCCCGCGGGCCATTTACGGCCCGGGGGTCGGTTTAATACGGCCCTCCAACAGCCCTCCC